TTCGAGGACGACCGGCATGCAAGTATGCGTGACACGAAACCGGAAGAGGTATTGGCCGGAAGCCACTGGATCTTTAAGAGTCGTCTAAAGAAAGGGATTACAGGGAAAAATATACAAGAATGTGGCAAATTGAGATTATTCCACCTGTGGCCAATGACTTCCGTTCGGACGATGCTGACGACCTTGATGGTCAACCCTGTACATTCTACAATATCCATAACACAAGTGAGGATTCTTTGTGCCAACAATATTATATTCAAGCGTTAAATAGGTTTAATCTGCAGTACTTCAAGATTGTTAGCTTCTAATGTTATAGTCTTTTACCTCTGCCTACGCACTGTCATTTACATAGTCATGTAATGGAAATATTTTCATGAGTTTATTTACACAGATTGAGTGATCATTATTATTTATTATAGATAAATTTTAATTTATAAAAATTCCATTAGATCGTTAATAATTTTATTCATTAACTTTTATTTAAATTCTTACCGTCTTCATTCATTAATAATCATTAATTTAAAAAATAATTTAAAGTATAAACGACAAATAACTGATTTCATGTAAAATAAATGAATGATAATTAGAAATGAATAAAGGTGATAAATAATTAATACAAAAAAAACAATATTATTGGTTGATAATAAAAATATTTTATATACACTTTTAATGATATTGTTATTAAATTGGAGTAATAATTATCATTTTTTGATAATCCTAATCAATTTTATTTTTTTATCAAGTCTGTCCTCACTTGGTAACTAAACTCATTTTTATTATAGTCATAAATTTGTACATAAGACAAATTGAAAATATAAATAATTCAGCTAATTTTCACGGATAAAAAAAACATGATAAAAATTCTAGATATACATATCTCCCCTAAAGCCACAAGAACTGTCCTCCCCTTTTTCTAAAAACCTAGAAAATTCCCAAAATCCACTGAAACAGAAAATATGGAATACCACTTGGTCTACTGATTGGGCATTTAGATAGAAAACAATAATTTGTAAAAGCAGAAAAAGAAGAGTCATCAAATAAGTATGACGAATGAGGACAAAAGGTACAATCAAGAGGCTAAAATAAAAATATTGAACCATCCAACATTGCATTGTCGTAAAGACAGGTGCTAAAGATATTATGCATCTGGACATTTGTATAACCAACCACAAAGTCAATAACAATCGAAACTGATTACCTTTAAAATTATTGAAGATAAGATAAACAATTCTATTGTTACTTCAAACAGTCATTATTACTTTCGATACCAAGTCAATGGGTTAAAACAGGTAGAACTGATGCCAATAACTATCTTTAAAGTGCCAATCATTGTATGTTTTACCGTACAAGCTACCTGATCTTTAACTAGAAACGACGTCAATGTTAAAATTTCTTCCAAGTATTACATATATCATGATAAACTTAATATTAAAAATTAACTTGAGACGTAATAAAGAAGCAGCAGAAAGTAAAACAAGAACTTTTCATATGATAAAAGTACACAAAACAAAACAGGTGTCTTCATGGCAAACATAATATTGTGCATGTTCTATACATATACAAAATGTCTAGTTATTTACAGTTCTATAAGTTACGTTCAGTAAATGGAAATAAGTCGACAAAATGTAAATGTAGAAGAACAAAGAAAACACAGATAAGTAAAAGAAACAAATATGAGACTACAATAGGAAGCTTTTGATTACTGAAAACTCAAGTCCAGTTCTACACAGCACATTTCGTGATGATAAGATTCATACTTCTTGACCGGGTGGTTGTTATTACCATAACGATAACAGCTGGTTTGAGTAAGACTATTAAAATAAAAGGAAATGGAATTATTATGCACTCTTATAGCCCAAGTGTTCTTTTAATTGGCAACAAAAATTGAATTTTAGTAGATAATAAACTGCTTCGATTCTTTGAATGACTCTTCTAGCGTAAATCAGCTACGAATGAGACAATATTAATGGACGATAAACTGATATTAATGACGATAATTTAATTAATGATTTTACAGTATGTTTAAGAGCACAGATCATTTGAAGTGCTCCAAGAAATATCACCAGCTTAAGTATCATAAATTTTTTTTAAAGGTTAAATCATGTAATCATTGGCCATTTATAAAGAACTATCAGGATTATAAAATAGCTTCAATTGTTAATTAAAAATTAGAAATTTATTCTTTAATTAATATTGATTATGACTGTTGTTGAAAAAGTAGAACTGCATAAATTAGCATGAAGATAAAAAAATTAACAGAAAAATTAAAATAAGAAATCTAATATTTATTATAAACACAATAGAATATTTAATCGAATCAATTAATTATCATTAAACAATGACTATTTAACAACACCTAAACTCAATTATATTTCTTTTGAAATTAAATATTCAAATTTACTTAGCATTCAAATAAAGGAAGTCTTGGAAATTTCTATCAATTTATTCCCTTTGTCTTTTTTATATTCAACTAAATAAAAACGAATAAAATTCTTCAACACCACTTATAAAGTATTTTCTCATGAAGAAAAGATCCAAAACTGTCTATCTATGTGACAAAGTATTTCATCAAGAATAGAGTAGATCCCGCAATTGTTTGTAGGTGCATTACATAAATGAGAGTAGCCCTCGGTTATCCATTGTATTCTGTGTGGCCTCTTTCCTCTCAACGCTCGAGTACCTACTCATATACACACATTAGTCTTTTACTGTCTTCTTCTATATGTCCCTACATATCTCCTAACGATCAGCCAAGCATGGTGAGTGTTTCTTTGCCGTTTCGCTACGTTACTTCCACACGCCCTAACGCGAAATAGAACATCATAAAAAGTATTTCATACATGGTGGGTAAAGTCTACCCTCTAAGGTGTTCCTATCCGCTTGTTGAAATTCTTGTATTTAACAAGTCACAGTTCCAACCGAGTTCCCGACCTCCTAGCCCAGTTTTATCAAAGAAATGCACAATAGTTTCACATTGTGCTAAATAGATCTAAAGATATTTCTTGAGACAAACAAGCATTTTTATCATGTCAAAGTTTTTTTTTGAAATTCTAATGATAAAAACGTCCAACTGTGGCGAATGAATAAAAATCAAATGTCACTGTACAGGTGACAACTCATCTGGACACTGAAGACGTTGATATAAAGCACCTGACATCAATAACTTTCAACGTTTCACTGTTGATAGAAAATGTCCCTCGTAGGTAGCTTTTTTTATTCAAAGGAAACTCGAAAAGCTTAACATGTTTCTATTTTTTCTAGGGCTTGAAAGGAAGTAAAATTCCTCGAAGGAAATGGATGATACCAGACAGGTTTTGTGTTGAAACTGTCGATTAAAGGCGGAAGCTTGGCAAATCTCGGAATGAATCGATTAGACTCAATTATTCATCCAAGTAGAACCGATTAAAGTACACCCTTAGACTTCATACTGAAGCTCTTTTTTTTTATACTCTTCCACAGATACACTTGTGTTTTGTACTTTTATTTTCAAGATTAACAGATAAAATATTTAAATCAAATCATTTTAATTGTTTGAAAAAAAACTTCATTGAGAAAAATACTGCTGGATATAAACTTGATTTCAGGCGATTGATTATTATTGAAAAAAAACTTTACAAGCTTTTTTTTATTTAGTTACATCTATCGAGACTACTAATTATCTTATATCAGTAATAAGAGAAAAAAATAATAAGCAAGGAGAACTGGAATAATATTTAATTGAAAGTAAATATATACCTAACTGTACTATAAATTGCACTCCAAAATTATACTTTATCAAAGGAAAACATTTTTCGTTAAATAATTCATGACTGAGGAAACAATAGACTTAGTGAATCGCTGTATGTAATACAAAAGTTCTAGCTAAATGGAAAACAATTTATTCAGTGATTTTTTTTTTCTTTTACTCATTAAAAATAATTTTCCTGCCAGTGTACTTGTTTTATAATAATGTCACTGCATAATTTATATCATATTATTAAATATCCTATATGTCTTTATTGACTATTACATTACAAACTTGTAAGTTGTTTTTACTACTAAGGACTAAAATGCACCTGCCACCTGTCTCTATGCTCCAATGTCCTAGACACTTATTTCCTTCATGCAATTGCTGGTAGGACAATTATTTACGGCACGAAAATAAATAAATAAATTATAAAAATAACGTGTATAATATTTTATATCTTGGATTAAAGATATTGCGTACAATCATCAACATCCAGGTTTAACTTACTTGTTGAATAAAAAATGAATACTGTTAATAGAAGAACGAAAAATTATGGTTATCTTATTTAAATGGAATATTTATATAAAATATAGAATTTGAAAAACGTGTACTATTACCTCATGTAACTGTATCTCTTTAAGATTTTATTTATTTGAAAATGTTCCCCGTAATCGATCGTTAAGAATTTTAAGCCTTAGCATCATCGAATCAACGCCCGAACTCTCATCTCATCCCACCATATCTTTTTTATGGCCTCCCAGTCAGCCACAGGATTTCGAGTTTTTTTTCTTCTGGACCTCGCGTGAAACAGGTATTTGGACCAAGTGGACCAGTGAAGATTCGTGCGACACCGACAAAAGTCGTTGCAACCGCCTACTTTGAATAAATATATATTATTCCGTTTTCAAGAGAAACTAATGAAGATGGGAAAACGATCGTCATTGGTATTTTATTCCTAAAAACCTTTCCAATTGATTAACAACTATTAAAATGTCTAACCGTATCATTAGAAAATTATCAGCTCCAAAGCATCGACATTATCTACTAAACCCAAATATTTATATCAGAACGTTCAACAACCTTCGAGAACATGAACGAAAAGTAATTTATTCATAACCATAATCAGATTCACTCATATAAATTTGAAAAGTTGAAAAAAATTACTCGTCAATCGAGTTTTATAAAAGAATCGAAATGACGCCATTGAATCTTGTCGGTGAATCAAACTAAATAAGAATAAAAAGAGCAAATTAAATAATAAAACATTACTTACTTCTCGCAAAAATCAAAATACTTATTATATTTGATAATCCAAAAGATATTCACAAAAACAATCACAAACACTCGCGGCACTTTGTAACGATGAAAACTCAAAATTCACATCTTGTATATGAATGATTTACATGACATTAAATGGCTTTACAGCCATATAAATAATAAAATCTAGTTAACAGTATTTAAAAACCACGAAATTAATCACAAGTAACGTGTGTAAAACCGTAAACGCGTGTGAAAATAAACTCAGACCGCTTACAACAGCTTCGCGTGGTCTGCTGCCGTTGCCCCGTCCATCAAGACTCGTTTGGCGCGACGCTTTTCTCCCTCCATTTTAATAGCGCCCCACCAGAGATTGACTGATAGCTCCGCGAACGGTAACTTGAGAAATTAAAAAAAAATTTAAATGACGGCGGGAATTCGGTGATAATTAAATAATTGAATTAGACGCGACACATTTAATTTAACCCTTTGCACTTAAAGCCATTTAGTAAATTATGAACTTCAGTCTCCATTACATGACACTTTAGTACAAAGGGTATAACCTTGATAACCTCAATTAAATAAGAACGACTAAAATTTAACTAAAAGTGATAAGAGGTACTTCTTTGTTTAAACCATGCAAATCAATTATAAAATTTTTATTTATTAATATAAAAATTTAAACCTTATCAAATTTAATTTGATACACCATTCTCTGGATTTCCACTTTTCCTCAACTCGTAAATCTGTAAAATAAACATACATTTCAGTTAATTCAGGCATGTACAATTATGGCTGAAAGCCTTAAGGCAAAAGTCAGTTGCAACCATAACTTTGAACTAATAAAAATAGTATAATTGTTTATTGATCATACCTGAATGTAAGCTTCCGATAATGCGATCATCTGAGGTAGAATTTGTGTAACATGTAAATCTTGTAATTCATACCATTGACCTGTAGCTCTATGTAAGATGTGAACTCTATATGTTCCCTGACCTGGTTCACCATCGTGAACTATGTTAGCTACTAAATCATAGGTAGTATAAGGATGAGTCGCTTTCACTTCTGCAGTTAAAATATCTCCGAAGTCAACATTTCTATAATTGATTTAAAATATTACACATAAGGAAACAATTAAATAGCATCAATTTTGATTTATAGAATGCTTGTTATTAACAATTTACCTGACAGGAAAATTAACAATCGTAGGATTCTTTTCTACGAAAAAAGTATTTTTAGTGAATCTCTGTAAAGATAAATTATATAAGTTTCATATGATCAGTCATAACGAATGGGATTTTGAAGAAAAAATATAAATACTCACCTTGATATAAAGAATGAGATAAGGTGGTAGTTCAGTTATCTCAAATCTTTTCATAAAATTCTCCTTATACGTTTTATATTCTTTTTCTGTGATAGCATTAAATTTATTCAGAAGAGTGTAAAGACTCACCTGCATGAGAAAATGCATCATTTATTACTTTATCAAGAATTTTCAATGTCAACTATTGCATTTTTTTTGTAAATTATTTAAATAATTAATGTATAATTCTAAACATGGAAATTTTCATTACCTGAGGGATGATATTTTCTCTAATTTGATCTTTAAAAAGCGGCGGTGGAGGCAAATCACAAGTTAAATACAAAAATGGACTTTCTGTAACAGTTTCTCCATATTCTACAGTATTTAATAATTCACTTCTTTGGCTTTCCTCGAGTTCAAGAGGTGGAATTTTTCTTGTATATATTTTCATGTGCCCCAGAAACGTCTTGTATATTATACTTGAATTTTTCTTCTTGCTACCATTTAATGCAAGATGAAGAGCATTGAGAAACCATGACAAAAAATCGATAGGATCACCTGAAATTCAATTGAATAATGAATAAACTCCTTCTTTTGGTTTATGCTTTTTATGCTATAATAAAAATAATTTGAATACCTTGCTCCGTAAACTGGAAACGTTTTTTACTCCACAAAACTACTGCTTGAAGCATCTCATGAGGACTAACATGAGCTTTAAAATTACGAGGATTCCATAATTTTCTCATTAACTCTCCAAACCTCTGAACCAAAAGATATGAAGAGTCTCCAGGAGGTCTCTTAATATGTGCATAATTTGATTCTCTCAAGAAATAATCTCTCAGTGGAGTTACGTGTGATAATGCCTGTTGGTTTATTATACGTTATCAACCTTAAATCTTGAATTAAATTAAATTTTTAAGCTTAAGCAATTCATGAAGTTCGTTTTTAATATATTACCTGCAGAATAACGTTGCAATAATCATTGGCTTTGATGTTGTTCATACCAACAATGCCTGGTAAATACATTGAACCATCAATAGCTCGTGATTGTCTGTCACTTATATCAAGCTGAGTTATTTGGTCCTTATTAAATGTTGGATTCAACACATATTTAATATCATCCAAAGAAGAATCTAAAAATTTGAGGCGTTTAATAAGGAAACTGAGATACATATATTTTCTTATAGACAGCAATACTTACCAACGATTTCATAATTATCGGGCAGGCAATAAAATTTTAACGTATGTAAATTCAAAAATACATGATGTCCATCTGCAACACTATGAGTGTATGCATGGGTATTCGTCCCTCTTCCTTGAAAGTATTTTCCACAAACTAAACATGCATAGACGTTGATTCTTGATAGCGAAACAGAGCATAACTTTTCAAAATCAAAATCTAGAAATTGTCTGTTTATGGTATCTAAATATGGACACAGTCGTAGAGCATTTGATGAAGAACCCTCTGATTTACTCTTGACATTGTCATTGTTTCCTAAATATTATGAATAGTTGTAAATATTAATATGAAGAATTAATAAAATATAAATAGAAAAAGTAACCTCAAATTTTGTAAAAGCTATAATTTAACAGATCAGTAAAAAATAATGAATTATATTAATTAACTCACCATATTCATCCTCAGAATCATCACGATCATCTAATTTTCTTTTTAAAGTATTCTCTTGATTACTTGAAGTCATGTTGTTTATTAAAAATCTTGTAATAGTACACAACGTACACAAAAAGATTCGACAATATTTTGATCAATGAAATGATCAATTAAAAATGTATTTAACAATAAAAATGAAAATCCCGAATAATAATTTACAAAATAATCATATTGTTTTTATAATTATTTATAAAAATAAAGTTGCAATCGTCTTGATTACAATTTTACGGATTTGTAGTTTTACCAAAGTTCGATATTGAAAATGGAAGACATAGCGAAAACAGCGCCACCCTGGACAGTAGCGCCGTCATAAATGTTGCGGAATTTTTCCTGAGTCAATAAACGCACTTTAATAAATTGTTAATAAGATAACTGTATCTTTACTTATTATTAGTTATAAATTCAAGAAGACTGTAATTAATTTATAATTAATTGACTCACAATACAAAGAAATTCATTAAACCTAAACTACTAGTAATATAAAATATCTAATAATGGCCGGTTCTGGAGATTCACCTTCTGACTCAATCCTAGCAAAGTTTGGACTTCAACCAGTTACACGATGTAGTTTAACAAAATTTTATATTCCTGCATTTGGTGTAGCTTCTTATACAGGACTTTCTGTTAATGTGATGAATCCTCAACTTGTTATCAGGTAAAATTTTTAATCGATTAAACATAACCTCCTTTACCTATTAAACTTGATTATCATAATTATCATACAATGTATAAAGAGTTGTAGACGTTACGTAATCATAGTCAATGGCATTTAATTCTTAATGAATGAATATTAATTGCTCCATTTGTTTCAGAGTTTTTCCGAAAACTGATATAACAAATTATTTATTGGGCGGTGCTTTAATTGGTACGGGATCATACATTTACACAAGAGAGCATTTAAAATCAGCTCATCAGTGTTGGAGAATTACGTTCAGGTAAATAACACTTGCTAATTTTTTATCAAAATCTAACTAGATAACAAATAAAAATCAAGAAAATCTCACTTGTTTTAAAGTGAATTTGCTGATTGAAACAGACTTTATAATAAAACTGTTCTTATTTTATCAGTTTCATACATTTGCAATTGTTTTTCAGTTTTGCAGGCGCACTGCTTCTGAACTTTGGCTCCGTCCTAGTGTGGGCAGTTGTCAGATCAATCATCCCACCTAACCCAGCATTATGTACCATAGCGGGTGTAGGTACTGGTCTGTTGGCTATAAAAGCTGGTCATAGTTACCTCCAATTTGTTGATAGTCAAATTGCTAAGAAGTAACTGGTTTTCAATAATATTTGATAGATTTGTTAAACCTATTACCATTAACTATAACACTAACAATAATAAACACAATAACAAATGAATACTTACAAAAAGTGATGAGCAATATGAATGAAATATTTATATGATTTCCACCCTGCAACAAATGTATTAATACGTGGGTAGTGCTTCTACTGTATGTCGGGGTAAGAAATATTTTTGTTTTCATTTTTATTATTTTGAAATATGTTTTTTGAACTCAAGATATTTTGAAAAGTTTGTTGATTGTTTTGAAAACAATATTTAAATAAAATACATTTTTATCACTTGTACAAACTTTGATCTAAATTAGTTTTAAGGTAGAAAAATATATTTAAAGTATTAACAACTCACTGTTAATTTCATAACATTTTTATTTCATTATAAAATTGATTCTTTATTATTAAAATACATTTATTGAGTTTTAACACGCGCAGAACACACAAACATAAAAAAAATGAAAAATATGCAGTAATCAGTACTAGTCAAATTACGGAAAATCATGAGAAAAAAATAAATAATAATAACAAGAATAAAAATACTCAATCATTGAAGTGTTTTAATAAAGATAACCATTTATATTAATACACTTCTTTAGTATCATCATATTGACATTCAGCTATCGTGAAAAGATTACAGATTGGAAAATCCATGAGCGTTCTTCTTAATTATACGATAATTATGAAAAATAAAATAATGAATAGTTAACTAACATTAATCTTACATCGAAAATAATTATTATAGAAATTAATATTAATAATAATAAATTCGTTAGAAGTTAAGACATTCAGTCTAATATTTACATGATGATCACTCATCAAGAAGACAACAATATTGTCAAGTAAGCTCGTAAATCGACTAAATTCTCATAATTATCTTCTTTATACAAGATTGAGTCATATTTGAAATACTTTTATATACTTGTTTTTGTGTTTCTATTTTTTATTGTCATTTCTTCACATCTTATCGGCTTAAAAATATCTGTCACGTTACCCATAGGATATTTAATTAAACGTCAACATCCATGTGATTTTTGACCATGAATCATGGGAATTTCTTAAAACTCGATTCTAGATTATTTTTTATCTCGAGTTCTTAGTCAATAGCATTAAGAACATTGATTTCGGTATATAAACCATTTTCAGTCAATATTCTTGTTAGGTTTGATGAAAAAATATTGCTTTATCTCCAACTAATTTGGAGAAATGTGGCATAAGGTTCAAATGCAATTTAAAACTTAAATAATTGCTCTTCATTTGAGTTCGGTACGATTATTTATAATAAATATATATCTCTAATTAAACCTAAGTGATCTTACGAGTGTCCTGAACTGGGATTTGATCTTGTCGTTGTAGAAGCAATAATATTGGTGACTGCATCAGCTACTGTTGATGATATCCTGTCAATATTTTCTGTAATTGCTTTGACCGAAGGATTATGATGATCATGATGATCATGGTCCTCATGCTCGTCAACTCCACATAAATGTTCATGTCCACCTCCGTGAGAGTGTGAATGAGAATGTGAGTGTGCAGCTAAAAAAGAAACAAGAATTGTAATTAGTCAATGAAATCATCAAAAAATAATTCTTAAAATGAATATAAAATGTTGTTCTTATGATTAAGATATTTCAGTAGGTCGTAAATAAGGCTATTATAAAACTTATTATTTTAATGGTGTTGCTAAGTGTCTGAATGTTTTTGTAAACATATTGTGCATAATTATGTAAATACTTGAAAAAAATTATGTTGACATGACTTAAACACTGAAGGAGGTAAGCGAGCGTAAACAGTTTTCCTAACTTAAAAACGTTGAATAAAAAATGTATAAAGAAGAAAAATAATCGAACTAGTGATAGAAATAGATGTAATTGGTCATAGGTACGCGAGAAAGCTGTCGAAAGTCGGTCGATGAAACGTTTGGTTCGACGACCTCGGAGTCAGGTCCATTGTCAGTGGAGGAGAAAGCACTCTATTTAAACATCTGGGTCGTCAACACGCGCGTGACTTGTCCTGCCCTACCCTGGACCTAAATGTCGCCCATGAGGTAATCATTATTTTGGAGTGATTTGCTACAACTTTATGGGTAATTATTTTGACTCCAAGCTTTGATACATGAGGATGAAACATCTTTAATAGAAAAACATAATAAGTCATCATTAGGAAGTTGTTGCTAGTCGTTCCTATCTATGGAAGCACAAACCGTGGATGATATCTAATTATGTAATATCCGCAACGTTGAATGTATAATGAGAATTGAGTAATTTACATTGTTTTTTTTACTGTAGATATGATAGTTAATATATTGCCACAATATATGAACATGACAAGTTCAACATGAATGTTGTTCATCGATACGAAACTCGATACTGAGATATAGAAACAAATGTTTCAATCAATAAATAGCTATCAAGATCTTAAAAGTCTCTCCAGATTAGGCATTTTTCTAATCAACGGTAATTTGCATTCTCAACTGAATCAAATGTATTTTAAGGTGATTAATGTAACGGTTGATCGATGTCGAATGATCTTCAGCACGCGATTCACGTGACCGTGACCTGACAATGGCCAGAGTGTAAAGCTCTTTCATTTTTGAATTTATGATCGATCCACCGTGGATTCCTCTTCATATTCCAGAACATCTGCTATCACAAATACATGCAAAATGAAGAGAAAAGCAAGGACGCTTTGAAATAATGTTTTGCACGAAAGTCTAAAACGAAAGAATCTTTGACCTTTTCTGATTAAAATGGTTCATGAGTAAAGCTTTTAATGTCAAAGTTTTTTGAAACTATTTTAACACCTTTTCTTCATCATAAATATTTAACAAATCGATTTCATCTATTATTTTCTTGTGTTTATATGACTCACTGGCTAATTGAAGACCCAACATGAGCATAAATCCAGCAATTATTGCTGCTAATTGAAGCAATCCGCTTTTATCATTAGCCCTTTCTCTAGCAAGCACTTCAAAAAAGACGACGTAGAGCAATGTTCCTGCTGCCATGCCTTGTAGAATTGTTGGAGTTGCACCAAGATTCTCACTGTCATTTTTAAAATATCCTAGTCCAAGTCCAGACACTATTCCTAAAGGAGTGACCATAGAGAAAACTGTGAGATATCCCAGAATTGTTCTTGTTGAAGCTCCAGTAATGTAAAGTTCCATCCCAACACAAAAGGCTATTACTAGTTTGTGTGTAGCTATTGCACCTGCTAGATAAACAACAGATCCAATTGATGGCTCTAAACCAACTGCCAATCCTTCGAAGATTGCATGAAATGATAATGCAACTACTGTAAGCAATCCACGAACTGAAGTATCAGTATGGTGATTGTGGCCTTTGGGGGATTTGGCACGAGGGGGATACACACGCGTTACAAATTGATCATCTTCACGACCAGCATCAAGTGGAGAGTCCATAGGTGCTAAAGATTGTACAAAGACAGCAGGTAATACATCTGCTTGGTTTATTTCTTTGTTACTTTTGGGTGAATCTGATTTGTTATGATCATCTTTCTCTTCATCTTCATATCTAAATCTTCCAACTTTCCAAGATGTTGGAGATGAAGGTTTTTTATTAGTAGTTACAGTTGTTATCGTCGTATTAGATGTAGAAACTGGTGCTTGCTTATTACATCGACGTACAGATACTGTTCTGTAAAGAAGATCTTCAGAATGTTGAGTTTTTCCCGTCAATGTTGCATGAACTGTTTCTTCAACAAAATAAACCAAGAAAAATCCAACGCAAAATAGTAGCTCTGCCATACTTAGAGTTCCAATAGTGATGAGTTGGCCATTCGATTGATGACGTTCAACACTTTGACGTACCTCAGGAGCCAAATGTAGAAATGTTGTGAATAATAAAACTCCACCGCCAAAGCAAAGTAAAAGAGACGTCAAAAGACCCTGAAATAAATTTTATAATTAATAATACAATAGTCATGTTAAATCAAGTTATTTTATCAATATCAAAATTAGGATTAGATTATAATGGAATTTATCTAAATTAAATATATATTGATACTGAAATCGAATTAAAGGAAAAAATAATATTAAAAAATATTTACCTGAGCTCTCTTTTCTATAGCTGAAGATGTATCAGTGGAAGTGCTTGAACAACTGGACAAACTACATTTTTGACGTCTTTTAAATCTACAACGACCAATGATTAAAGGTAGTAGTCCAACTAATAGTGATCCAAGACCAAGAATGACCATCGCTGCTATTTTAGTAAGCAGTAAAGAAACTTGAGATGTTTGCATGGTTTGATTGAACAACACTGATGGCTCTATGCTTTCCATGATGCTTGATGTTGATAGTAACACTGTTCAGACAACAATGCTGAAGACAGAAAAACTGTTTCCCTAGTGAGTGTTGGCCACCGTCTGATATCACTAATCATTTACTCCCCCTTCGACTTTTAAATTCGTTTATTCAAGTTGATAGTGATATCATAGTACTTGAAACAAGAAACTCAGATGCTTAGGCCATTGTACGTTAAACATATATACTGACTGAGATTGTTATGCTAACAAGCAAGAAGAGGGTGTCATCACAAAATAGAGAAGAAATTCTTATCAATCTGCTCATAGTCCGATGTTCAAAACAAATTCTTATTCTTGTGACTTTCTTAAGTCTTCTTCAAAATATTTAACTTAACTATCTCATATTCACTTACTTTTCAAACTAAAAACTATTAAAAGATATCGTCTTATCAGCTAAACTATAAAAAAATTGCGTTATAGCGAAACAAGTTATCTTCAAATCCGTTTCTTAACGTGGTACTGTTGATGACGTTTGCAATAACTTTTTTGGAGTTTGTAGTTGCAAAGTTATTGAAAGACTGAATTCCCGGAGATGTATCTTGTGCTTTATAAATTATTATACTCCTACTTCCTGATGTTAATTAAAAGCACATGATAACATCATGCACAATAATCATTCCATTTCTTATCACACTCTTCAAAATCTTCTGGTAATTATATTTCTTCATCATGTTTTTTTCCATTTAAGCTGATAAATCCATTAAATATTTAAGACTCTGTTATAAAATAACTTCTTAGCTATTTACAAATATTCAGAATGCCGTGACGAACGCCATGACGATTATGACAAGCCAACGTCCTCGCGGTAGAACGAACTGAGCACTCCTGGAACTGGGGGCCTTGTTGCGGACTATCCCCTCGCGCGTCTTACGTCGCAACATCCATCACTCCCCTTCCTGCCAGTTTTCACGGCAAATCGTGTTCCCCTTCCACCCTCCACCGCCTTTCACAGACTTCCCTCGTGTTCTCCGTTGCCTCATCATCTTCTGCTCCAACGACACACGGCTAAACTCATCGTAGCCGGTTTATTTCTAAGTATAAAGTCTGATGTCTTCGTTAATTTATTCACTTAGCTTTGATATTGTGTGAAAAAATATAAACAAACTATTTCAACAATTACTTCGTAAGAAAAAATGAACAATTGCTCCATTATAAGTCCTTGGGGGTTAAATTAAAAGTATTATGATAAATGTTATTTTGTAATTACGTCTTAAGATAAGACTTAAATTGAAAATAACGATGAATGACTACTTTAATACTTGGTCCTGCAATTTTTTTATTTAATTCAAATAAAATTTTAATTTAATTTTAACTCGCCAATTTTCATTTATTCATTAACTGAAAGTTTAAGTGAAAGGACTTGAAAAACTCTTTTTTGATTATATTCAAAGAATATTAAACTAAAGTTAATTAGAGTTGTTAAATTTAATCATGCCTAGTTGTGAAAATTAACTTTAAAAAAATGTGTGAAAGTATTTTAAAACAATGATTAGTTTTATAATAGCCTCATTAAAACCATACTCATTATTAGATTATTCATGTCAGAAATTATGTAGTCTAGTTACACATACAAGAGTCAAATGAAAACAATTATTCTTTGCATGGAATAATGAATCTGTTCCTATATCTGTACTTTAAGTGCAAACTTTTGAATACGGAAATCGAAACTTGAATGACGTAACTCATTACCCGTTTACTTGAGTTTAATACGCCCACGAAATACCTCGAAAACTTTTTATAGGTATGTAGGTCACTGATGATCAATTAAGTCGATCAAATAAATTTTTTTTTATGCCTCACGACTAATAAATACTAACATTTTATCATGTATTATTATGAATTATTTTTATAATTTATCTTTTCAATGACAAAATGATGCTACTATCAAATAAAATACTTTTATTTTATATCTTCCGTTGATGGTATAGAAATGATATAATGCAATGCATGTATCATTAAATTTTTCAATAAATGTGGATGAATATTCGATCACAAATGATGCCTAATTTTTTCTGATTCATCTTATTCGTAAATATTGAAATTGTCTAAAGTCAGTTTAAATCTGAAAAACAAATAAAAAAATACTTAAATAATAAATAAACTAATACTCACTTGCTATCTGAAGTCCAAACATGACCATAAAACCAATGATAATGGACAAATATTGATGAAGACCATCCCTATTATGATGCAAGATTTCAAAAAATACGACGTAGAGTAGAGTTCCCGTAGCAATTCCCTAAAATCAATCAAAGTTTATTTAGTATTTATATAATTTTTTTTTTAATAATCATAATAGTTAAATGTATTTGAAGGAATTTAATTGTTTAATCAATTTTTATAGTACCTGAAGAATCACTGGAAGTGGTCCACTAGCAGCTGTAGAGCCACCTCCAACGAGAAGCATACCAATACCAATACCCATTGGAGATACGATTGCAAACGTGCAAACGTATATCACACTTAAACATTGATGCGTCCTTGAAGCAACTAGTTCAACTCCGATGCAGAATGCAATGACAAATTTGTGAGCTGCCACTGCAGCAAACATGTACCTACAATTTAAGCATTTATTTATTCAGGTATTCTTTATGTTTTTACTCTTCACTAGTGTAATTGAAGTTTCATATAAGTGAATTACTTTGATACGTAAATGATTTAACTACATTTTCAGTAAATGAAGTAAAAAAACACTAACTAAATCAAGCTCAACTGTGCTAACTAATTGAAACTTCTTCACTTGATGATGGGAATGATTTAATTACCAGACATAATTTGCCGATCCCTCAAGACCAATAGCAAGGCCTTCAAACAGTTCATGAACAGAGAGTCCTAATACGATCAACAATCCCCTCAATGAACTTATTACGAAGTCATGATGATCTGTCATAACAGGTGCTGGTAAGTGAGTGTGGCCATGACCATACCTACATTAGAATAAATTTTTTTAGTTATAAACAATTTCATTACACTGATTTAAAGATAATGCAATAAGTTGTTTAGTAATAGATGATATTTACCCATGAGAATGACCGTGACCAACTACACAACCATTATTTTCCACCAATTCATTGGTGCTGTGATTAACATCTTTTTCTACATGTTTCACTTCATGTTGCTCTCGTTGTCTGAGTTTAGTGTGTACTATTTCTTCCACTAAATACATGATGAAAAACCTGAAATATTCAGATTGCATGTGTTTATTCTGTTTTATTCATTAACTTCATAATCAACAATGACTTTGGACGATCATTGATACTTATTATAATGAAAAACAACAAATCATTCACTCATTTGTCGGGAATAATTGCTGTTGTTGAGATTAATATCAATTATCATATTATCAACGTGAAAATATCATACAGGAAAACGAAATCACGTAAACACTTAATAATATATTATCATACAATGACTTACCCAGTACAGACGAAAGTTTCTGCCCACGGAAAGTGATAATCCGGCAAAATACCACCATCAACAAGAGATTCTACATTTTCTTTAACTTCTGGTAACATGTGCAAAAAAGTCGTACAAAATAGAACTCCACCACCAAATCCTAAGAGCATTCCAACAATCCTGGATGATCTGTAATAGAGTCATAAATTGTTATGATGTAACAGACACTTTAAATTTAGATTTTTTACTCCACAAATTTCTGTTTGACCTGACCATGAAACATTTTTTATGACATTGAATACATTTAATAAAAATTAAAAGTAAATATCTTTTTGAATTCACCAATTTTTCTTTCACTTGAAAATCATTTTATAAATCAATCATATAACAACCTTCATTGTTTCATCATTGAAAAATTATTTCTGATTCCACTTGCCGCTACAAATTTATTAATACACTTTCTAAATGAACTATTTATTTTTACTGAAGCAATTTATGATATAAAAATAAACTTACCTTGGATTATCATTTTTATCAGTTCCCCATTTAAAACATTTGCTGAGTTGAAGTGGTATCGATCCCATAATTGTACTGACCACGCACAAAACCACCATAGTAACAGCTTTAGCTGTAAGAACAGCTGTTGGATTGTGATCATCGTGAGCGTCCATCGTAGAATCTATTTTCTGCGTAAAAAACTCGACGATCTCTTCTTGATGAGGTGCCATTGCTGACTAATTTTCGAACCTCTCCAGACAGTCGTAGACAGTGGACGCCGTAGTTTCTGTAAATCGTCAAAAATACATAATCGTTAACGAATTTCTTAAAGCCAATGAATAGAAATATACCTGAACTAGGGACACCTCAACTACCTGAGGCAGTGTATAATCTACATTTTCGGTGTATAAGTTTAAACTGTTAAATTTAAACAGTCCAAGTATGATAGAATACCAAGAACCAATCAAATTCAATAATTTGACACGTGATAGTATAGAAGGGAATTACACCTTGAATCACACATTAAGGCACATTAAGTGTCAATAATACTACGAGTTTAGTTGCAAATGAATCTTACAGATGCTTACACAGATGTTCGTTCTATATCTTACATTAATTACTTAAGAAAATACTTGAGTTATTACCCAATCAAAAAGGTTTGATACTGTTTTATGTCATCGAATACACATTTATATAATGAAAAATTTGTTGAAACAGTTGTTTTTTAAATTCTTTAGTATAGTAATAATAACAAATAAATAATGAATAATAAAGTCAATGTGTAACTTTGATAAATTATAAATAAATGTGTATAATAATTTTTTTCTTGGGAATCCAGTAAAAAATTTTAATGAATACTGTAAGAATCATTCACTTGTCATTATTTTTATCTATCGACTCATAAAACACAAACAGAAAGTTTGACAACAAAGGCTCATCTTGAATAAATATTGAGAGAAATAAAATTTTATTAATATTCGTATTAAAAAAAATCTGTATATAAAAAGTTTTTAATTAAAATTATTATTCACGTTTATTAAAAGATATTAAAAGATAATTACTGTGGAAATGGTCAAAAATGATACAATTACTTTAATTTATGATTTAATTTTATATTCTCTGTCTGTTAATAGATTAATCATTTAAATAAATATTAAAGATTATTATCATAGACTAGTTAATTGTTCAGAATTTAAAAAAACTTCTTTTTTTCAGACTAAAAATCTTTTGGAGACAATGAAATCCGGAAGACTACGATTTCTCAGTTGAACTGTAGCGATTTTTTTCAATCAACTAAATGAATTGCTGAGACATGAGCACGAGCAAGAGAAAATAGATGATGAATAAGAGTGAATAAGCGTGGACACACGAATTGGACCATCTCTGTACAATAGTAAAATGTGAATAGTGTGGGTAGTGGTAAGTACATTCATCCGGGAATCAAGTTAAACTATCAGTAAAAAGGAAAATAAATTTTTTTAGTAAATTAAAAAAACAAATATACATACATAACGAATCTTGACACTCTTATATAAATGTTTTATCAGTCGAGAAAATGGAGTAAACAGTAATCTAGTTTAATTGAAAAAAATTTAGTAAACTTTCTTTTTGTATTTTTACTAAGCTGATCAATTTAAATCACCCCGGTAATCGCGTTGCCTACTAACTGTCTCAGTCCGTGACACATTCAGATATATATGTATACGGTATCATCTCCCAATCTTTCTAATCGGCAAGTGCGTGGCGATAACAAATTGAATTTATTGTGTGTGGTAACAGAGACAGCAATACTTAATCATTATACCGACTTAAGACTTCTGATCAAGTAAAAAAGCAGCCGATAAAGATAGAGAAGATTTCATCTTAATAATTATAATTCTTCATGTCTATTTAAAGAAACAAACAAGTACATTTTTTTATTCCTTTGAGAAATGTTTGAATATATATTTCTCATCTAAATGTTAATTACGTCATGTTTGGTCTCTTGACGTCATGAAAATGAATGTTTGGACGCCAGGTGCATAAATAGCTGGGATTCCCGAATGATGTAGGAAAAGACGCTGTCATCAATACCGGATTTCTACTTCGTAGGTCTGACTACTAGAAGTAAAGCTTGAGATGTTGACTACTACGCGATCATTGGCCACAAAGGTCATTCATTGCTGTATGCTACCTACTACCGCAACAGATAGTCTGGGTATTCATATAATAGTGAAAGTATTCGTTGTAAGAATTAGCGAAGGGGAAGCGACTCTTGTATACTAACACTAAATTGGTTGCTCAAGGCAAACTGCGTGCATGATTGAAAAGGATAAGGTTGTTGAATCGTCCAGATTCTAGTTCTGTATGTAATTATTGTTGTATTTAAATAGGGGAAGCCCTAGCAATAGGAAACTTCTTTGGAAAAATATTCAAAACAAAAATAACTTTTATAGATTTTTCAATAAAATGAATCATTGAATGAATAGAAATACATTATGTTTATGATGATTAAGATGTTAATAACAAAAAAATGATTAGAATATAATTAATTGAATAAAAATATTTATTGACGTCTGCATAAAATTAGTTTGTTTTTATTTTTCAGAGGCTGGAGTGGAGAATGTATTGGTGCCGGAAGTGACAGCAACACCATCAGAATTCCCGCTCATGAATATGTGTTAAAAAATCATAGGAAAACCCCGAGAAATTTTCAGATACATTATGCATCAAACAACTTATTGAAATGAGCCATTATCATACAGAGTGAGTATTAGTGTCAGATAATTGTAGTTTCTTTATCATTTTAGAAATTTTATAATGACTCAATTAAGGAGTGATTTGAAGTAATTTTCCTGGCAAATAGTCTTATCAATAGACTCCTGCAGAGTTCGATTATCCATAAATTACATCATATATCATATCTATTGAAAATCTTTATTTTTTAAATCTATCAAAGAGTCCAACAATCAATACCGAAACAAATAAGTTTTAAATTGGACAAATCAATATTTATCTGATGCCAGACTCTAGATCTTTCTTTTTTTATCAGAATAACAATTGATCGATTTTTTTACGGTGTACGTGACTTACATACATGGAGTCAACTGAAAATGGAGCAATGTTTTTTGTATTCTCACGTTCTAGTATGAATACTATTTTGAAAATACAATTAGTAATAACTTAATCAGTGAAAGTGAGATAGTTCTGATAAATTTATCGAATTTGAATTCTTTGAACTTTTCCTTCTGCAGTATAATACTTGGAGGATATTTATTAGAATGGTGCAATTGGGAATAGAAACTTTTCAAAAATTATTTTTGGAGTTCATTGTAACTCAAGTTTACATAAAAGGATGTCATCAATTAATCTCATCTGTCTTAATACCAATTGTCAAAGCTCATATATTATCAAGTTGTTTACTCTATCGAAAAATATACAAATAAAAGGAAAAACTTTATTACTTACAAAAAACGAAAAATACTTACGAAAAATATACAAATAAAAGGAAAAACTTTAAGGATGATCCAAGTGTGAACCGAATCATAAAATGATAATTTATAAAGCATAATTTTATTTGGAGTAAAGCTGTGACAAACGATTGTCATGATAAATTGAATAATGTTGCATATTTTTACATAATGAACATTGTGGAAGACTTTTGAAAACCAAAAGTCAATGACAAGGGTACAATATAATCTTTTGAAGTTTATCAAATAATATTACGTTATTTCTTAAATTATATCATTACCTAATATATAATACATATATATTAATTTTTTTCAAGAGTCTTAAACACTCATTGAATAAAACATATATTTTTCTGCTAAAATGAGTTCTATTGATAATGTTTCCGTGTTAAGTCTGATTATTCACTCTTATATACTTCATTTATTTATCGATAATTAAAAGACAACATCCACTCGACTATTGTTGAACCCAAAAGCGAATATTCTGGACTGAGGATTAACATTATTGATTTCAATCTCATAAACAAGAAAAAAATCTTATCAATTTTTTCTTATTAAGAAAATTATTTTTCTATGACATTAATTTCATTAATTATATCTTGATTTTTAATTTTTCGATCTTTAAATGTCACATATTATATAATTTATTTTGCAAAGAATTTATAAGAAGAAATTATCACTTTGTGCTTGGTATCTATATAAAAAACTAAAATTAAAAAATTCAAACCTCAAAATATGATCCTGGTGTATCTACTTTAAATGCATCTGACTGGAGTACAAGTTCTCACCATGAATACAAATGAATTCACAAAATTGTTCTTATGAAATATCTACTCATATAGTTCACTTATAACTTTATAGCATGTGGACACTTGAACTCCCAAAAGAGTCTAATCAAAAGAGGCGCAGAATCACGAAAGGATTGAAAGAAGAAATTTCAACAATTAAAAGCACTTACATTCAATTTATAAGCCAGTTAACAATCTCGTTGACATTAACATGTCTCATAGAAGTATTATGTCGTAGACGCAGACGAATAATCATAATGATAAACTGACCTAAAGCATCAGGAATGCCACGACTAATTTTCTTCAGAGTTTTTTCCTCTCATATAATGTACTAATAATAAAATAATTATCATGATTATTACCAACAATTCATTCTAATTTACTAATAAATTTATCATATCTTTAATAAAATAAATATTAAATAAGTTATTATAAAATTTACAACTTTATTCAAATGAAGATTTTGATTGGTTTTATATTTACTACTTAGTATTCAGTATTTATTTATTTAAAATATTAATGATCGTATTTATCACCAAAAATTTTTTATCTTCAAATATTATTTCCGTTATTTGCTTTTTTATGTTTATTTATTCGTTAATATTTAACCATTTTTTCCTGGTTGACGTATATCATTATGAGTATTCTGTTATTGTCTAACAAAAGACCTCGAACAGAAACTACGTAGAAGTAATACTCTAAAAGCAAGTACTAAACCCGTCAGTCTAAATAAAAGATAACTCCTTATTACGGATGATTTACATGAGAAAGCTACAGATGACTGGATTGCTGTCCAGAATGTTGAGAAACCTTGTTCACTTTTCGCAGGGAATCACTTAAAGTCTTTTAATACGTGTAGGCGCTTAGGGAATCACTGACTCTGCATTCAGAGAATTGTCTTACAAAGAATTTACTTATTAAGCAAACTGCCATAATAATGAAATTTCTCTGTGATTTGAAAAAAATATAATGTATATATGTTATGTAGACCTACAATCAACCTTGATAACAGGAAAAATTTGGAGTAAACAATGTAGAAGGACTATACAATAATGTGGAATTGCAATGCGGATGCGATTGCCAGAGCGTAGCTTTCATTCAATGATTATTATTTTTTTAAATATTTTTTTTTTTTTTTCATTCTGTTTTGTGATAATACTTTGGAGCAGTATTGCATGTTGACGCATATAAAGAATACCTTTATAAAAAAATTTGTAATTGATGAAAAATATGTTGTTTCATGAATTTAAAATAATACTCTTCAGGCTAAATATTTTATAAATTTTTGAAGTTAATATATTAAAAATTAAACCATATCAACTGAAAATGATAAATATACTTGATCAATTTGGTATTACAAAGTATAGTTAATTTATTGTCAAGCAAAAAGTTGATTATTTTAATAAATTATGAAAATGATAGTAAGGCAAGAAAAAATGTTTTTTTCATTGAAACATTAAAAACGCGATAAAGGAGGCGATTTTTTTATCAGTTTGACAATTGAAACAAATGTTTATAATATTTATTTGTATCGATAGATGACAAAGACACAGATTATGACTGAATGAATTTAAGTGACAAGGAAAAAAGTATTTCACATGATTATTCTACTATCCTACATCATAAATGTTAATGAAAAGCAATAATTTATAACAAGTTAGAAAATAGCAATAAAAGTTTTCCAAGCAATAGTCGCATACCTTTATAGCATAATTAACCAGCATAAAAAAAATAATTATAAAAAACTCACAGTCCATAGGAAATTTATTTGAAAACATGATGTAACATTTATTGACTCAGTTAAATAATTTTACTGGTCATGACAAAAATGATTCTTTATAAAATCTTTGCACTCACACGCACAAAATGTAATGAATCTAATAGCCAAAGATGCAGTAATTGGATAGGAAATGGTGATAAATGAAGCACGTGCAATTCACTGTAATTTTATCAAATTGCATTCTGTGATAATAAAAAAAATGGAGATCAAGTTACGCGAATCGATCGAGTGAATGTATATTTGATATAGTTCAACTGTAAAAACTCACATGTGGAACTTGATGAAAGTCTCTGTCGGCGTCCTTGTGGTGTGTTGTCGAGAGGTAACAGAATCTTGTTCAAGTCACGACGAGTAGATGCGCGAAATTGGCGCCGCGAAGAAGAATAAGCGGCTTCAGCTGTGAGGCCTCGTCTCTTACCTTTCCACCAGGAATTCCCCCGTCGACATAATGCAATGCCTTAGGACCAATTGGCTTTGGTTCACCCTGACTTCCCCACCAACATTACCAATTCCTTTCCTTGGAGAAGTACATTCTACTTCGCTGCAGAAACAGACAATCATTAAGTCATCATGTAAATATTGAAAATTTTATGAGGCAATCATTTGTTTTTGTTCATTTTAATATTTTCAACCATATACGCATTTACCTTTAGACCTACTTTATTATTTGTTTACATCAATGTTAATTTCATTCAAGAGTTCATTGAAGTTTTAGTTCTCGAGAAGCGAAAAAAACTTTAATTACTATTCTCATGCGAAGATTCATTGTTACATTGATCATTATCGTTTCTATTAAGAGAGTTATCGCCATTAGAAGACACTTCTTATTGACAGAAGAAGTTAAAAAAATATAAAAGATTATAAAAATAGTTCTGATTAAATTCAGCATCGATATTTATTAAAGATAATGATAATTTTTTCTTATAAAATGGATTAATTATTGCTAAATGTTTATATGAAATGTAATTATCAAAATTCAATATTTGAATATTGGATAAATAATTTAATACCCAGGTAGACGTCACTTTCTTTATCATAAGCAAGTGATAATTAGTGATGAAAAGCACTTTTAAAGAAACAAATAAAAATCATTAAAAATACAAGTAATTATAATAATTATTTTCAACGATTATTAATTTGTTTTTTTCTATTTTTCAGGAGACAGATTTTGAAATAAGTAAAAAAATTACCTGATGAAGAAGAAGCTTCTAAGAATAATTCAGGAAAAATTCAAAATGAAATAATCATTATGTGATTGACAGGTAATTCAATCATTTAAAAGCCTCACCAATTACCTTGAATTTATTTACATAAATATTTAAATTACTTAAATTAATAATTACTACCAATCGGTATGTGAGAATTTCAATTTACTTGGTTTAGGGAACACAGGTGTCATTTTTATTGTCGCCTTAAGTATCTTCTTCTTATCATTTATCTTTATCATGAGCACGATGGTATCACGTTTTCTATCTTTATTGGTTTAGACAATACGATTGAATTGAAGTTTGATACGAGTCTTAATTTAAACTCAAACTTAATTCTTCTTTTTGAGTGAAGTGAGGTTCGTAAGTCCAAGACTAGTTTGATAACAGATAAGACAGTTTTAGATAACAGTCTCTTCATGAAAACCTGTGTGACAACACTAACTCTTCTTCATATAATTTTATTTAATTGAAATTATAAATCCATAAAATAATATTTTTTTATGTCTCTAGTAATTACATCAAATTACTTCTTCCTAAAATTTATAAAAGCTTGGATTAAATTGTTTGAAAAACACTTTAACTAAGGCTAGCTTTTTTTTAATTTGTTATTATATATTTAGACATAATTATTTATTTATTCACATGGATGCTACATGAAAAGGGCAAGTTGGAAAGGTAAAGGCGTGTACTCTGTAATTCCTTACGTCTGTTGAGTATTTGAAAGCTTGGGAAATTTTCAATTGGCCACTCCCACAGTTCTTATTTATGCAAGTTAATCTTCATTATTGATCAACAATTTTTTCTTAAATATTTAAGAAAGAAAAACAGAAATGAAGAATATCAATACTCCAACTAATCTTAGGAAATATTTTAAATATTCTTTTGCAACAAATAATTTTTTTTCTTTTGATTTCAAACACTCCATATCATCAGTGGGAAAATTTGTGACTATTCTTGGAAAATAATCATAAGATGAGGTATATTTATTTACAATCATTTCCTTTTATGTTTGATCATGATCGAGCACTCTGTACTTTTAAATTCTCCCACGCACTAAAGATACAGCATGATGAATAATTTATGACTACAAGTTCGTCAGATATTGGATTGCATAAGAGTTCAAGACGTATTACATTTTTTTATGCACCTTTAACTTGTTTTTGACGTTTCTATTAGTAGAACATTAATCATCATTATGATCATAAGAATTGTTTTTCATAACCAGCAGTATAATGAACTTTGTTGGATTCTTGCATTCCACATGAGTAAAAAATCTTTACACAAATCATTAATTATATATATACATGAAAAATAACGACTCCAACTTCTCTTAGAAATTTCATTCAGTTCGTTAATAACAGTAGAAATTTAGTAAGCATATAATTACAAAAAGTAAAAGTCTTTCTACTTTTAAGTGTGTTACAGAGAATAAAAAAAAAGTTACATAATCCAATCACAATAATACAAATATTAAGACAATGAATAAAAAATATTTAAGGTCAAATAAAATCGTTTAAGAGAGCTGATTTTTTGTTCTTAAATTAAATTAGAACGATTTACACTTTCTAGTTGAGAAAATCAACACAATTTCATAGAAAAAGACTTGTAAAGCTAATAGCTGGTGATGAAATGACAAAATATTCTTGTACATAACTGAAAAAATGAATCGATAGATTTTATATGAAAGCTAGAAGTGTCAGGTGACAAGAAATTCCTAGCTCTGTCATGGTTCATATAATAGCTTGGTCCGCTTGTTAATCATTGCATTTATAACTTTGTGCATAACAAGTAGTAGGAGTTTGCATCTATTGAATATATACGATGTGTTAGGAAGACAGCTTTCACACAATTTAGGGGAAACAAGAGGAAGTAGAGCTCTTGAATAATTAACAACAGAAGAAAATGTTTTTGCCCTACAAATTTTTTTTTCATCCACTATTAATAATAAATTTTTATTAAACTGTAAATGATCACTAGAAATCTTGATAATATATGATCTTGAATTAACATCAAGGCTATAAAGTTAGAAGAATAATTATTAGATGATTAAAGATAAATGATTACACTCAGCTGTTGGAGAAAATTCAATAAAATATGAGTTATTTTTAATATATAGAACATTCAATAATCAGGTTATGTAGTTCAAAACTTGATTTCCAATCTAATCGCACTACTTTATTGAAAATCTTTCATTGCACAAGATGATCTCTTTGAAATTTATCAGGCCCAATGGTAGAGGTTACACTTGTACTCCATCTATACCAGCTCACATATGTTGGTTACTCCTTTTATAAGTAGATAAAATACCACTTGTCGTAATTTGTTGGAAAAGAGTTACGACCACTGATGGTAAGACACTTCTTTATCAACAAAAATTACTTTCAACTGTGAATTTTAAAATTGTTTTCATATTTTATTATAAATAATTTATCTACTTCTCTTTATCATAGCTAGATTACTAATGTAGATACATCAAAATATATTAGATTATTTTTTTTAATCTATTAAAAATTTCTCAATTGCTTCATCATTTCTATTAAAAAAAAAAACAATTACTCCATAAATATCATAGATTTAATGTACTGAAGCACAATAATTTTTCGTCCATTACTAAATATCGAAATTCGTTCTTAAAATAAATATTTTAAAATATGAATAAATGTAAATATATTTTTAATTACATTATCATTTCTCGTTAAATTTTTATATTCTCATTATTTTATTTTATGATAATTAAACAACTAATGCGAAATAATATCTTGCAAACGACATTTTTTTCATCAATAAAGCTTGTTAATAGATGTAATTACTGATAAAAAATAATTGTTCAAAATTTGTTTAGATTATTAGAGTACTCGTGTGGCAGGTAAAAATACAGTGGCGCATGCTTACAGAACGACTGAGTTGAGGTCTGACGAACCTGTACGAGAATCAAAGCGGCAGTTGAGCGCGAAACCTCGTGCTGTTTGTGTCGAGTGTTTGTGAATGAATATAAACAATCGACTCAAAGTAAGTAAATTCCAATCTTTCTTGTTTTGTACACGAGATTTTCTCATTCACATTCTTCTTCTTATAGTCTTTTATATCTAAAACTACATAACAATTAGACATCTTCCAATTCTATGACTAATACATATTTGTAAAACACCTGTTTCGACATTCGCGTCAAGGACAACGGAAACTCAGATACGAGAACTTTGTGGTAGTTTACGTGACAATACGGAGAAAAATACAATCAAATATAGTGATGGAAAAAAATTTGTACAGGTATTTGACATCACACTAATACATATCACATAATACTAGAAATTTAACGACAATTTTATTTGAATTCTTACAAAAAGATAAAAAGGTTATAATGTTAACGAAATTATAACACTGAATGCTGCTTAATGAATACGTTCCAATAAAATTGAAGGAAGTAAAAAAAAAATATTACTAATTTGATACTTTTTGATACGAAGCAGCCATTTTAATCATGTAATTATTGTCATAACCTGTATGTTAAGATGATACTAATTATATTAAAATGTGAACTTTAAATGGATGAATTACATTGCTAGAAAATGATATAAATTTATCCAAGACAATATCGTTAAGCAATTGAGATAGCAACATTGTAAAAATTTTCCCAAGCAATCTTGTCGGTACATCTCAAGTGTCGTGATGATGAAAAGTAGATCTTTTATGGAGCTTCTTTTAATCACAATTGTTCACATTTGTCAATCTATAATTTCTTCATGAGAAAGTGAATGGATAATATAGTTCATTTCGATTTCTAGTGAAAACAGATTCTATTTTAATCCTCAACGATCCTCATCGACTTTACTTTATATCAATGGATGAGCTATTTTTCATGTCCTTGAGACATAGATGATAAGTAATTTGTGGTTGAGAATTGATAAAATTTCTTTATTAATAAGAAATCGTTTTTTTTTCTTTCGCCAATGTTTCCTTACGTTGCAGCTAATTAGCTTTTTTATGTGGGGTAATTAGTAACACATTTTTAACGATTTTAAGACACAAATTGTGAGAAATTAAACTCAACAATAATTTTATTTATAAAAGGAATTTTTTGTTCTTCATTTATTATTTTTCTTTGAATTTTTATTTTTTTTCATGTTTAAGGTCATCATTTACCAAATTTTTAGCTCAAGAAATACACTTTTTTGCAATTAATTCAACATTTAAATGATAATTTTTAAATTAACTTTCGTTGATGAAAAGAATGATATAATTTATGTTGATTAACAATTAAAGAAAACAAAATTAATTAATAATTAAAGTGTTGAAATATAAATCGAAAGTTTTTTTTACATTTCTCTTGATAAACTTTCATCTAATTCCCGCTATCTCAACGGTTTCAAGAGTAAAAACAGGCATTTATATCACTGGTTCGAGAAAATATTTAATTCTTAGGAATGTTTCACTAGCGATTTAATTTACGAGATGGACTTATTTTTTTACTCAACACAAAACAACATCTAGACCGTTGGAGTGTTCAAATCTTTCACGTGTAACATGTGAACACTACCAAGTGTCTTATCGCTCAGGTAGAGCAGTGAAGCGACGAGTATACAGGTGCAGACTCTTATTTTATAGTTGTATCATCGCCACTTTGGAGTGTAAAATAGACTTATGTACATTATAACTTATTAAAGATACACGTAAGAATAAGTTTACTTGGTCTTTTTCTCTATTAGCACTAGCTTAATTAACCGAGTTTCAAGCAATCTCTTGTGGTAGTGACTGTTGCAAAAAAAACGACGTAAAATATAACAACTCATATCGTGCAATTATTATTTTTATGGAGCATAAATAAATGTTTGTGAATAATTTGATGATTCATGAGTAAAATCGGAAATTTTTTCTGTTTGTTATTTTTTAAATAATAAAAAGAAAAAATTAGTTAAAAAAAAATAGTGAATTATCATAATCAAAAAACAACTCTATCTATTAAACTTTATTTCTTATTTAATACATAATTGTTTATTTAAATTAAAACTGAAGTAATTTTTCAAAGACTTTCTAGCTGGTTTATTCGAAAGATCTTCAAAGAATATTTTAATAATATTTTGCACTCTCAAAGATATTTTTATAAAATGCGATGAAATTTTATGATTACCTTAAGACTTTTATTAATGACCTATCATTATAAAAATAGCACTAGAGACTGTTGCGGTTAGAGTATTTAAACAATACTGTAATATTCTATAGACAACACAATATAACATTAATTTACATTCCGGAATATTCATTGAAAATGTATTCACTCATGTCCCCGTTAACTTTATTAGTACTAACTTATTGGAATAATTATTCTAATTAGAACGAATCAATTAATATAGAATTGTTTTATTACTAATCATATTACTCGAAACGAAAAAACATTTATACAGGAAAAAGAATTCAAATAAATATTTGTTTACGGTTAAATTCATAAAATTACCAGACAAGAAAATAGTTTAGTAAGTAGTGAGAGTTTATGACTTGAAAACCTTTATATTTATGATCTCGCTCATTTCGCTCTCACCTTACACAATAAACAAGTTACACTTTCGTTCTCATTGTAGAGTTCTTATTGTCTTTTAATTACTCTATATAGCCTCACCTACTAACTAAATTAACTACAAACAAAGAATTAAACTCTCATTTTACATTTACTTATCCTTAAAATATTCATATTTCTTTCCAAACAATTGTTTATGATGCTTATTTACATACATTATTTCTACTCATAAGTCAGGAAAAGTGGTTACAGTGTAATCACGTTTACATCATACAATAAAATACGGAAGACTAAAAGAGAAAAATAAAATAAAAAAATGTAATAAATCGACTTTGATGATTTCTGATGGATAATCATTTTCAGTAGATAGAAGTCATGTTGAATAGTTTCACAGGGTTGAACAGCAGCTCTTTGAGCTGATATCCGTGACACGCATCCAGCAACCCGATCCTTCTATCGTGATCAATTTACCTATACATGGTGTTGCTGTTGGCGTTGATGCTTCTACGGGTCGTCCAGGAGGAACGCCCCAGCAATCCTTCCGCGCTTGCATAAGCGTGTGGCCACGATCATTATACTCGTGGCATGATACAATGTGTGCGGGGAAGCGCGAAGCAAAAAGAATAAACCAAAAAATAACCTAAAGACGGATGAAGCCACGTCGGGTTTCTCAGTTACACAAAACCAAACTATTTTTATCATTATTTGCTCTTTTTGCATCATTTTTTATAAAACATGAAAAAGTAAGGTAAATAGAAAATGAATAACTCAACCAATCACTTTGAAACATGGAAAATAATATAAAATGTTTCTTTATTCTTTAAAATTGATCCCAGAAATTTAAAAAATTGGTTGAACAACATTTTAAAAGAATTTCTACAGTTTAATAAAAATTAATGAATAAAAAATAACAATGATAAATTTTATAAGTCCTATTGTTGAAGACAAAATAGATTATCTTTGTTAGAAAAATTATGAGATCATTTTTTTGAGATCATGATAAGAATTACTTATCACAATCTCTATTCTAAGAAATTGAAATATTAATTAAAATCCAATTTAATCAATGAATAGTACATTTTTTTGGAGGAAATGAATTTTTTCTTCTTCAATCAATTTTAGATTAAATAAATATTCTATCTATAATAAATTGAACAACTTGTTATCAGTAATCCAAATAAAAAATGATACTCCAAATTTATAATTATTTTTTAAAGCACCAACAAAACAATGAAACTAAAGTTTAATATTTCAATGGAAAAAAAAGATAAAATGAAAAAAATGGAACACATGAATAAAAGAAAACAAGAACAATGATAACAAAACACTGTAAATAATAGATAAATGTATATAAAGAAGAACTAAAAATAATATGAACTTAATTTGTTAATTTCTATAACCAACACAGAAGAATTCTTAGAAATAATCAATTGGATGTAACAAATAAATCGTGACTCAATGAAACTATTAAATCCCCAGAAGGTTATTGATAAAAGTTTTTGCGTAGTAAAAAGCAAAAATGAATATATCACGAGTCATGTGTGATGTGATCGGTGCATTTAGGTGCTTCCTACGCTTGATTCATGAGATACTGACCATGGTTGTACCAGAAGGTTGCACCAATTAATATTAAACGGTTGTCAGTTTAATACTGGGGCGATCTTGTATGCGATATATGTCTACATACGTTACTATATCACATTTGTAAACCATAGACGGACAATATGACCGCAGAAATGCATATCAGCCGAGCCAGCAATTACTTTCTCGCAGCTTAATTAAATAATTAACATGATAACATTCTTAGTTGATTAAGAGACTTTGGATTAATATTAGCGATGAGAAAATAAGACTGGTTCAATTTCCTGTTCACTAGTGATCTTTATCATGTTATCAATAGGGTCATTGCATTGAGTACATTGCTGACTATCAGCTGATATTAAATATTTAGTGTTTGAATTATTAGTTCATATATATATATGAGGATGAAAAAATGCCATTTAAATCTGCCGTGTTATGTAAAATAATGAATTCCAAAAGAAAAATTCTAAGCTTTTAATTTTATTTCATTTCTTATCACTCAACTTTTATCAATCAATTTAGATTATTTAGAGTAGAATCATTTGTTATAAATTGAGAAATGAGAGCATGTACTCATGGTAATGTTAGCATTTAACCATATTTCAGTTCGTGCTATGAATTTAAAAAAAAGTATGAAATATTTATTATCGAAGTGAAGTGTTACGAAACATGTATGCGGGCTAGTTACGATCAGAGTTCTTGAATAAAACTTAAAGTGCTTCACAACTTGGACAATTTCTATCTCATCCAAGAGAACGAGACTACGTCAACGTATTCGAAGCGCGACGAGCTGCGTCAGTAGCCCGTCGTAATTTTCATAAGTAACCGGTGGTAGTACACATACGGTGCGTGATAGCAGGGTGTTCACGCAGTAACTGCCTGTCCAAAGTTCAGTGGCCGTGACCAGTGGAGAGACCACCTCTTACTTTCTCGATGACTAACGAATCGAGACAACCTGCAGGAGTAACTCCAAAAGCACTTGTCAGACAAAAGAAATTGTCTGTAGGGGTCTGGAGAATTTTATTAAATCGATTTTATTTCTAGTTCAAAGTGTTGTACTGGATAATGTATTCTAGCAGTAATAGACATAAATGAACACACTTGACAAATTCAATACATTCGTCCATGCATGCTTCCCTTCACGCCTCACCCATTGCTTCCTGCTTCCACCTGGTCACAGCAATTTTATTCCATACAACTCGCCATGTTTTCCATTCCAAATTTATCCTCTCCCTCATTTCCTTCCGGACTTCCCAGTCATAATATTACTTTTGATGATCAACGTGATTTAAATCAACATTCATGTAAACAACAACTTTTAAATAAAAGCTTTTTTTCACTCAGAAGAAATGAGCTTTCATCAAATGAGAGTAGTGTGATTGTTGTTATTTAAAGGGGTCTTTTTTCCAGCTCTTGATCGAGAGAATAAATAGAATAAAATGATAATTAATTTCATAAATTTAAATTGAATTATTTATCAGTAGTGTACAACTCAAACCTGCTTCAGAAACTTGCTCTGAGGTATATACAGAAAAAAAGATTCTGTTGCTGCAACAGATTGGAGCTTTGCTCCTGCAGCAGTTGTAATTTTTGCTGTGTCTAGGAAAAAATTCATTAAATGAAATAAATTTAATTTGAAAATGGATCAGCTATGAACGAGAATTGGTTACAATCTATACTTAAAAAAAATTTTTGGTTGGAGATTATTTGAAATAATCATTGCATCTACTTCTTTTTGCTTGTAAAACTCAACAAAAATTAGAACTGTTGCAAAAACAAATCTTTACAAGAATATATTTTTTATTGGATATCTTTTTGTTAAAGGATCTTTTAAGATTGATAATAAACTTTATCTATCATCTACAATTACTATTATCAATTCAGATTAGATTCATGAAATATTATTACATGATGATAACCTTTGAAATTCATTAATTAAATATGGTACAAAATATTTCAAATTATTCTGAATTTTATATAAATATAGAATTGTCTCGATTACAAACCACCTGCCCATTTTTCTTATCTGATTTAGATATATTTTTACATGAATTTTTTTTATGACTCATAATTATTTAATTAAATAGACAATACTTAAAAAAAAAGAAACTAGTGATTTAAATAAAGAATTTCTGTTCTTTTTAAAAAAGTATGATAAATAATTGTGGTAAATGATTAAAATAACTACCAACATCTCACACGAAGAATAATGTAATTACATAAATGAGTACCTTAAATACAATCATTTTCAGCAATAACAATTTAAATTAAATTGTCAGGAAAAAACATTGCTCTGAAAACTAATTTTTATGGTAAATTATTATTAAGAATGTCTTCATGTATTTTTTTGTAATTAATAACGGTTTTAAAAAATGAATGAATCATTAGAATAAATGAAGTACTGAAATGATTTAATATAATTCAAATCAGAAGTTATACTTTGAAATGAAAACAAGTCTTACAGATGGTTAAGACGTTGATGTGATCGTAATGAAATTTTAAAGTTCATTAATCAAATAGAGTACCTTTCTAAAGGGCTTTCAAGAAAATTCATCAGTATGTCCAGTTTCTCCAACAACTCACACGAAAGAGCTTTGCAACAGCTGGTAGTTACGGCTACTCGGCTACGACGGAAAGCAAGAAAAAAAGAAAGAGGTGAACGAACTGACATGAAAAACATCATCACCTCTTTTTTCTATTCTCACACTTTTCTCTTCCGGATGGACGATTATCCGGATTTTATCTCTGTGAACTTTACGTTTTGATAAATTTTTCTCTCAAATATTCTTTGTCTAAGTCAAATAATAATATAGATAAAACGAGATGGAAAATACCCACCTGAAAATATCAGAATTCAAAGTCTAGGTAATTCTAACAAATGTTTATTTAATTCTTTACAAATAAGAACCATTTAGTCTTCTGGTAAAATTTTCAATTTAACAATGAGTGATAGGATAAGATACAAAAGTATAGAATCTACATGCAGAAGAATCGGTCGGCGTTTATGTAGAGTTTACCGTTACGAGATCTTTAACGGGATGCAGAGAGAGAAACGAATTGAATACTGTGAAAAGAGGAAGAAAAGAAAGAGGAACAGGATGAAGCATCAAGTCAAAAGATTATCTCACTAAAATACACGGTCCTTTTTTTTGCAACCCAATGTAAATATAATTTTCCGCCAATATTTAGTCATTTTATATAACTTAATAGCATGGTGGGAACACACGAAATGCCAAATGTTACGTTTTCTTAAGTTAATGCCAAAGGTTCAACCTGAATGACTTTATTCTTTGTTTTTAACTACTCACTGGAGCTAATGATTTTCTCCAAACTCCATAGATAGTTCAATGGATAAACTCATACAACCATGAAAACATTCTTATCTTTCTCAAATAATTTCTTTTTACCATAAAAAACACTATAATCAATTCTCTCATTGAATATAAATGAATCAACTAGCAACAAGTATTAAGAGAATTATTGGTGCTTTTTAATTGATCAAATACCTGTGGAATTATTTATTATCACTGATATAATGCATAAATAATTCACTAATCAACTGATAATTGAAGAAAAAAAGAGGTGAAAAAATTGGTAGCTCATGAATCATTAAAAAAATAACGTATCGGTATGACGTTTTGTTATCGCGATAACAAATGCGTCTTGATAAGTCGCAATAAACGACCATCTTTGAGAATAAATTGGTATATGAGAATAAATTTTTCGACAATTTATCTAAAATTATTTACTTCAGTATTTTACTTTGTTGTATAATTATTTTAAGCTGTTAACCTTGACAGTCTTGACAGTTATCATTCAAAAAGAAAAGCAAGGTAGATGCAATTTATCAGTTCAACACTTAAGCCTCATCGATCGTGACACTTTTACTGCTTCTTAGTTATAGTAATCTGCTTTCATAATCGCTAAAACTTAGTTTCCTTTCAAGACTTCTGTGTTACCAGAGTTAATATCACTATTTTCCAGTGGTTATGGAAATTAGATTTATCTCTCTCACTATTTTTCGTATTTGAATGTGTGAGTTTGAGAGGCTTGAAATTTTTTAAATTTGTGATAATCGTTCGTAGAGAAGGAGTAAGTTAATATAGACATTAAACACCAGTAAGGTCTTTGGAGAATGTGAGTAATGTTACTGTGCGAGTAGAAAATATACTCTCCAGACTAAAAAGTAGTAAAACTGATATAAATTCTTTCATCAACTCAATTAAGGAATATTTTATTGAAAAATGTAACAGTTAGATATTCTGTTTTACATGACTTACGATTACATGACTTTTGGATATAAAAAAAAAACTTGAAAACTTAACTGTTAAATTTAACAACACCTAGATAATATTTTCTTTGTTGTCCAACAAATAAATAACCATCAACTTTCTAAATTTGATGGTTTGTGTCAAGCACTAAATCATGATGAGTTGAAAAAAAGCTAATCAAAAAAATAACGTTATACTTAACAAGTTAAAATAAAAATTTTGTTTATTAATACGTGGCAGACAATCCTTTGTTTTATTTCCTGTGTAATACTACAGGATGATAGCCAAAGCAGTCAATAGGAGTGTTGATGTTTCCTTCTATGATGATACCTTAAGTTGAGAAACCGATTAGTATAACTTTAAGTATTGATTTTCTGTCAATTGTATGAAATATCAAGAAAAATGTCGTAGAACATCGACATGCTGTCTTGTTTGTGTGCATTAAATATAGCGACTTTAAACTATCTCAACTAATATTACTTTATTAATACCAAATCAACATACTCTAATTCAGTTCAAACACTAATAATTCAATTAAATATTACTTTAAAATATATTCTTTTTGTTATAAATAATAATTTGAATTTATCTAATGAATAATTCAATTACAGAACTGCCAAAATGGAGAACCAGCAGGTGTGGGTAAGGGATCCAAAAGAAGGATTCATTATAGGGAAGTTTGCGGACATGGTAGATGGAGATGCATTAATTGTTCCTCTTGACCCGAAGTATCCTCAACGCACGTGCCCACTCGACGAAGTATATCCAGCTGGCGAATACACCAAAGACGTCGAAGACAATTGCAAGTATTGTAGCGCCCACGAGCGTTTATTAATAACGTCTTCAATTCCATTGTTTGGCTCAAAGTTATAACTTACTCATTTGATATTCTTTTAGGCGCCCTGATGTACCTGAACGAAGCAACACTCCTTAACAATATACGCACCCGTTACTTCAAGGACAAAATATACGTGAGTATATGAATGACTTTTCTCCAGCTGCTTCATCATATACATCCTGGCACAATAAAGATAGTTTAAAAGCACTGATAGTGTCTGACTGAATCATTCCCACACCCAAGATCTAACTCGAAGATTACTTGAACGAAATCCTGAGTGACTGATGACTTGCGCGTTGTTATTTTTATCTTGGTGAAAGATACTTTACTCGGCTCAGAGAAGTGCTCTCTCATTAGAAACAACTCCCACACGTGGGATTCTAATTAAAAGATTGAATGAAAAAAAATTAATTTATGAAAAAGAGGTTTAATTAAACAAATTATTTTAAACAAAATTTCTATTTTTTTTTGCAGAGTTATGTTGCGAATATCCTCATTGCAGTCAATCCCTATTGTCCAGTTAAGGATTTATATTCTCCTCAGACAATCAAATCATATCAGGGAAAGTCGCTGGGAGAAACACCTCCACACGTATTTGCAATTGGTAAATTATTGGTTAAATTATTTTAATGTTTCATTTATAGTTTATGATCAACAATTGACTGGTAATGTTGTAATCTATTATTGGAGTTAATATCGCATAGAGTCATACAAAAGAAATAAATTCTACAGGTTTTCAATGAATTGTTTAAATTGAAAAAATAAATAATTGAAAAATTTTTTCTTAGCTGTACAAATTCATTTTACCAATTTTTTCTGTTTGCAGCTGACAAAGCTTTTAGAGATATGAAAGTATTCAAACAATCACAAAGTATTATAGTATCTGGTGAATCAGGAGCTGGAAAAACAGAATCAACAAAGTATCTGCTTCGATATCTATGCGACCTGTGGGGATCCACTGCTGGTCCAATTGAACAAAAAATTCTTGACGGTGAATTACAAGCTTCATAACTCAAAAAATTCCATTAAATTTTTTTTCATTTTACTACAACGATAATTTATTGTTTAACAGCCAACCCTGTACTTGAAGCATTTGGTAATGCAAAAACGAAAAGAAATAACAACAGCTCGCGCTTTGGAAAATTTATGGAAGTGCATTTCGACAATAAATGTCAAGTCGTAGGAGGCTTTATCTCACACTATCTTCTAGAGAAGTCACGGGTCTGCCTTCAGAGTTCAGACGAAAGGAATTATCATGTCTTTTACATGATGTGTGCGGGTGCTCCAGCAGAATTACGAGCTAAACTAGGTATTACCAAGCCAGACGATTTCCATTATCTCAAGAACGGCTGTACACAATATTTTTGTAATCAAAAATCTGGAAAAAAACTCAACGATGCCCAGAAGAGTCGTGATCATTCATCAAAGGGTGGATTGTCAGATCCTATCCTTGATGATGTTGAAGGATTTGCTGCCGTTGATCAGGTAATTGTTTTTTGTTGTATTTCATAATTCTCAACATTCTTCTGCTGGCCATGAAATTTTTCAATTACTTTAAAGTTACTTTACAGAATTTCAATCAAAAATAAATAACTAGAATACTATTTTTTAACAGGCGTTTACTCGTCTTGGACTTAGTGATGTTGAACGAATGGATATTTACACAATGGTAGCAGCAGTTCTTCATCTAGGTAATATAGTCTTTGAAGACAACCCGGAAGATACTAAAGGAGGCTGCAGGATTGCAGCGAGCGCAACAAAACCACTTGGAATGGCTGCTAAATTGCTGGGCGTTGACCCTGACGAGCTTCGAGAATCTTTAGTTTCTAAAGTAATGCAAACTAGTCGAGGTGGATTCAAAGGAACAGTGATTATGGTACCACTGAAAGTTTATGAAGCAAATAATGCTCGTGATGCCCTGGCTAAAGCAATTTATAGTAAACTTTTTGACTACATTGTCACCCGCATCAACAAAAGCATACCATTCAAGGCTTCAAGTTATTACATTGGTGTTCTTGACATTGCTGGCTTTGAATATTTCAAAGTTAATAGCTTTGAACAATTCTGCATTAATTATTGTAATGAAAAACTTCAACAATTTTTTAATGAGAGAATTCTTAAGTTCGAGCAAGATTTATACGCCAAAGAGTCTTTAAATGTACCCAAGATCTCTTATGCTGATAACCAAGACTGTATTGACTTAATTGAAGCTAAAACAAACGGAATTTTCAGCTTATTAGATGAAGAATCGAAACTTCCTACGCAAAGTTTCGCTCATTTCACCAGTGAAGTTCATAGAACATGGAATGGTCACTTTAGACTTACTCTTCCAAGAACATCTAAACTAAAAGCACATCGAGAACTCCGAGATGACGAAGGATTTGTGATTAGACATTTTGCTGGAGGAGTTTGTTATCAAACTAATCAATTTATTGAAAAGAATAATGATGCTCTTCATGCTTCTCTTGAGGGATTAATTCAGGAGAGCGGAAACAATTTTTTACGGACGCAATTTGCTAATCATTCCAGCCAGAAAGGAAAATTGACGTTTATAAGTGTTGGTAGTAAATTTAAAACTCAACTAGCCGAGCTCATGGATAAATTAAAGAGCAATGGAACAAACTTTGTACGATGTATTAAACCCAATCATGAAATGGTAGATCACAGTTTCGATGGAAACAGCATACTTGGACAATTACGTTGTTCTGGTATGACTTCTGTTCTGGAACTCATGGAGCACGGATATCCGAGTCGAGTACCTTTCCAAGAGCTTTACAACATGTACAAAATATACTTGCCTCCGGAACTCGCAAAATTGGATCCACGATTCTTCTGTGAAGCACTGTTACATAGTTTGAAATTAAATAATAAGGACTTTAAATTTGGTATTACTCGAGTGTTCTTCAAACCAGGAAAATTCGCTGAATTTGATAGAATAATGAAATCAGATCCTGAAAATTTGAAAAAGCTTGTAGCTAATGTGAAAAAATGGTTATTAAGATCTCGGTGGAATAAAATACAATTCTGTGCTTTATCTGTTATTAAACTAAAAAATAAAATAATCTATAGAAGAAATCATCTTATCGTTATTCAGAAATATAGTAGAATGTTTATTGCAAAAAAACAGCATCAACCGAGAATCCAAGGAGTTGTAAAAATTAAAAAGCTTAAGAATCAACTAGGAGAGATGGAAGAGATAGCTAATCAATTAAAAAGTGGAAAGGAAAAAAGCATTAGGGATATCAGAAACTTACAATCGGAAATTGAAGTTTCTATTCAAAAAATCAAGGTAAGCTTTTACAATAAATTAAATATATTTAATTTTATAAATATTATAACTATGAATTATTACTTTATGTACAGAACAATTCAAAAATAAAAGCAACAGAAATAGATGCATTATATACAAAACTCGCAAACGACGTAAATAGTCAAATGGCAAGTCTTAAGCATCAAAAAGTCGAAGAACAAAGATTGCGGAAACTTCAGGAAGAAATGGAGATCGAGAAAAAGAAAAAAGCCGAAGAATTAGCTAAAAAGAAGGAAGACGATGACAACAGAAAGAAAAAACTTGAAATTGAAACTCGACGAAAGGCTGAAGAAGAACAAAGGAAGAAACAGGAAGACGATGACAAGAAAGCTGCTTTAGCTCTACAGGTATTACTTTAATCTACTTTAATATTTTATTCTACTCTGTCAGAGTAGTTTTCTTCGCTATTATGATATCGAAATGATCCTATTATTATTTTTATTTATGATTATATTATCTTTCCAAAGCTTCAGTTGGAAAAAGAAGCTATGGAGGAAAATCACTATCGTGAATTGATGGAACAAGAACGACGAGATCATGATCTAGCTGTTCGATTAGCCCAAGAATCTAATGGTCAAGTTGAAGATTCGCCTCCACCAATCAGAAAGTAAGTTTATTTTTATTTCCTTAACTTTTGTTCAATATTATTAATTCTTAAGATAAATAATTATATGTATTAAAATCGAACATCAAAATTACATTGTTCGTACAACGGCTAAGCCGGTCCAATTGTACAAAGATAAACCTGAAATTCACGTACCAATTTTATTGTAATTGCACAGTGGCTCAGACGTGCGGGTTACCACAACAAACAACAACAGGCTCAACAGGTATCAAACTATTACGGGTCTCTACAGCGATTCATTATTATTTTTAGTTAATATTTTTTCTTTCACTACTCTATAATGATTTTTTCAGTTTGTTTTTTCTTCTAATAGATTATATTTTCACTATTCTTCTGTCTCTATTATCAATTTTGCATGTTTCTGTTATTCTTCTTTATTGCTGATTCTCCCGCCGTCTAATAAATTAACTGGACATCATTTGAACACTTATTTATTAATTATTATTTTTTGTTAAAATTTATGACTCTGTCTGTAGACTTGATTGCATGCAAGTATTTATTATTCTTTTGATTGTCGAAATAAGATAATTTTTCTTTTTACCCAGGTCGGAACAAGTGAGAAATCAACAAGCAATGATGACTAACAAAAAATATGATTTATCTAAGTGGAAGTACTCAGAGCTACGTGACGCAATCAATACGTCTTGTGACATTGAACTGCTTGAGGTAAATACCAGTCATTAATATTGAAAACAATTTTTCTAATAATTATTGACAATTTTTCAATGAAACAACGCTATTTAAGTAACTTCTTTATTATTATCCATATCTATATATTGTTTTAATTAATTTAAGAAAGCCAAAAAATTATTACACAAGATTTTAATTGAACACTGTTTCAGGCATGTCGTCATGAATTCCATCGCAGATTAAAAGTTTACCATGCTTGGAAAGCACGAAACCGTAGGCGTACGACAATGGATGAAAATGAACGTGCTCCAAAATCAATTATGGAAGCAGGTAGAAAATGATTGAGATCAATAATCGATTAGGATTTAAAAAACATCCTCTTTCTTGTTTTTCTTGTAGTTTAAATCATACGCAATTAACAGATTAATTTTTTGTAAACCCATTTTACTTTTTACTTAACTTTTAAGTTGATTGTTATTAATTTAAAAATCTTTAAAAAACTCTTCAGCTGCCAAGTCTCCACGGAATCCACTTAAACAACAGATTGTTGAGTCATCTCAACGATATTTCCGTATTCCTTTTGTCCGTCCAAGTGCTTTAGGACAAGCAGACGGTGGAGGTAAACGTGGATGGTGGTATGCTCACTTTGATGGCCAGTATGTTGCAAGGCAAATGGAATTACATCCGGATAAGCCACCGATTCTTTTAGTAGCAGGTATACACATTATATAATAAAGTATTAATTTTCTAACTATCTATCATTAATTATTTGCATGTATCACTATAAAATAAGTACTTCATGAATGTGATACCTATTAGTTAAAATGTTACGTTACCAACTTACCTGACTTAGTAAATCATTAACGAGAAATTTAATTCTACTTACAGGAATCGATGACATGCAGATGTGTGAATTGAGCTTGGACGAGACAGGTTTAACTAGAAAACGTGGAGCAGAAATTCTCGAGCATGAGTTTAATCGTGAATGGGAACGTCATGGGGGAAAACCTTACATAATTCCAGGCGATCGAAAAAAATAACTCATTTCTATTTTATAATGCTTCCGTTTGACTGTAGACTTTATTTCTTTATTTCCATCGTGAACTTCAACCACATTATTACCAATTATCATTATTTATGAGACTTTTTTTATTGAGTTTCATTAATTCCATCAATAACATTGCTTTTTTATTCCAAGTATTTCAAAAAAAAAATGATGTATTTAATGTGTTATAAAAATTGATGGAAGCTGCACTAGAGAATTATGATTACTACTTATTCCTTTGTAGTATTTTTTATGTTAAGTTAAAAAATGCAACAAAATTTTATGTGAGATCTCTTGACATCTTTAGCACGTGTTATTATACGTCTATTCTTGAACGTATACTTTACATCAATTCTATGTATCATATGTTATTATAATATTTAGACTTGTGTCTATTGAAAGATGCATTAATTAAATGATAAATAAGGGCTAAAAGTGAGACTTTAAAATGATATACTAAAATAAGAATAAAAAAAATCTATATTTGGCATGCCTATTAAATAAATAAAATTATTTCAAATAATTCTTTTTTTTTAATTTTAAAAATAGTTAACATCTATTCAACTCTTGTAAACAAAAATACAAAAACATATTCGATTCTTTAATTAACTTGTTAATGGCGGTGTCCATCCACCATATCCTTTTTCCAGTTCTTTCGCCACTGCTAAACACAGGCGATCTTGATAAGGTGCTGCGATTACCTATGTAATACATTCGATATAATCATTAAAAATGTTCATATAGGTGTATTTCTATTTAATGGACTCATTGAAAAATGATAATTGATTACTAATTAATACAATAAGCAAAAATTCAACTTATTAGCTCACCTGGAATCCTAAAGGTAAACCTTTATTGTTAAGACCCACTGGTACTTGTGTTGATGGTAATCCACAAGCGTTAGCTAGAAGACAATATTCCCCTACAGTAGTCAGCATTGCTGAATGGCCTATCGGTGGAGCAGCACTTATCCACGTTGGAAACAACAATACACCATCATTACCCAAAAGTTTCTAGTCAAATAAGAAAACAAAAATTAGATTTAAACAAGTATCGATCACTTGATTATTGATCATATGGTTTGGTTTTTACCAAAAGTCTTTCTTGAAGTTGCTGTAATTTTTTCCTATACTCAGGAAGAGCAGAACGTGGCATGAATCCATTCATATCTGTTACTAATTGCATAAAAATAGCTGATTTCGAAAATGTAGAGCATCCTATGACTGCTTTGGCCATTTCACGCACTGGATTAACTTTAATCTATTTACAATTTGTCTTTTAATATGCCACACTTATAGATCAAAAATCGATTTGATATATTATTAATATGACTTACATCAGGATTATTTGGATGAATTAAAATTCTTGGTAAGTTTGGTATTGTAAGAAGACTTGATGTCAAAACTTCACAACCTTCGTTTAACCCTTCGATTTTTGTCTAAAAATATTTCATGTTGAAGAATAGTATTTAAATTAAAATGATATGAAAAAAGAAATCAATTTACTGGTAAAGCTTTAGCTCCTTGACTTTCAAGATACATGGCAGCTCCTCGAATAGCACTTCTTATTTCACTATTTACAGGAGCAACTCCAAAATTATTTTCAATAATTTCTAAAAAGTGAACTTTGAGAGTATCAATTTTTACTGGCTCATCTAAACGTAAGTCTTTTTTTGCGTAACCAGCAGACATGGTTTTTACTGCTAAATGCAAATCTTCTACATATCGAGCCATAGGGCCCATAACCAGGAAGTACTTGTATACTTCATTCTCCACAATGGGGAAATGTTTTTCAATGGGAATTATTCCTAAGAAATTTTAATAAAAATCAAATTAAACATTCATTCATTTTCAATAAATAGTAGGTAGTAATAATATCAATAATTATAATTTTTCTGATACCTGGAGTAGGCTTATGTCCAAAAATACCATTATGACAGCTTGGTACTCTAATAGATCCAGCAATATCAGATCCAATGCCGATTAATGAAGCTCCAGCACCTAAAAGTGCTCCCTATAATATTAAATATTACTCCAATGAAAGACATAATCTATTATATTATATTTACATCATGAATCATTGCTTTGTTAGAATATAAGTACAAAATCAATAAGAAGAGATTTTAAATTGTAGGTCAAAAATATTTAAATAATGATTATTAAATCTATTTGTTCCTTTGGATATTATCTAATATTTTTCAAGTAAATAATAATGTAATAGATCTCTCTATTCAGATAGGCATCAATGAAAAATATTTTCCATTCAAAAAAAGAGGACATTTAAATAATGAAATCTTACTATGAGTCACATTCGTATTTGGAGTATTAGAAAAACATTTGTTTATGAATTATTTATGATCATTATAACTTAAGGCAATCAATTACTAACTTCACCCCCAGAAGATCCACCCGCTGAATGTCTTCCATCATATGGATTACGAGTAATACCATAAACAGGATTAGTAGATTCAAATCCAGAACACAATTCAGGTGTGTTTGTTACACAAAGTGGAATCGCTCCAGCTTTTCGCATATTTTGAACAGCAGGACTATCTTCATCAGCTTTCACATCTTGACGAGCTACAGTACAACCAGTGTAACTGAGACCTTGGATAAAAAAAGTGGAAAGAGAAGAAAATAAAAGATTAATATTCAATCACAATATTTATGTTTTTGAAAGTCACTGCCAAGGATGAAGATTACCTTTAACACTACAGCACTCTTTGACAGTGAAAGGAATACCAAACAATGGCTTTTCCTTCTCTAATTGTATGATTGGTATCTCTTTATCCTTCAGTATTTTATCACAGACTTTAGCTTCATTCAGGGCTTCATCGAAACGATCATCGACCATAGCATTTAAGTACGGATTTACTTCTTTTATTCGGTCAATGTAAGCTTGTACAACAGCTTCGCATGTTACCTTTGAATAATAATGAGGATTGAAAAAAAGTCATAATTAATAAACATAACTAAGAAATATTTCTGATTAATATTGATATTTGTTTATATAAGAAACTTTTATCATGAATGTGGATATTGTCTGATAAATACATCAGGTTTTTCTTACAGTTATAAATAAATCTGTTTGACTATGTGAAATTTTATTCATTTAATGCAAAACTGCGATCTGTATCAGTCAATGATATCAAATTTAGCTTAAAGAATAGCTTAAATTATTGAAAATGTGCGATCAAATTTGACTACAATTGATCTATGTATTAAAATAACTAATAAACAAAATTATGTCGATAAAATAAACACACCAATAGGTATTCAAACCCAAAAACGATAAAAAAATAATGATTATTAATGTAAAAGTAAATTTTTATTAAAAAATTTTATGTTTTTTCAATTAATTAAACTTTACTTCAACAATAAAAAATAGTTCAATGCATTTTATTTTCTAGAGTTTCATAATTTTAGCAATTTCTTGGATGATGTCTATCTATTGATCCAGTCACCCTAGGTATTCTTATAACCAAGTAGAAATTTCTGTTTTTCTATACTAAATTGACTGCCTGATATTCTTTGGGTATCACGAAAACATGTTATAAAAAGAGGTATTTTCATCTTCGGTTATCTTCGGATTTTTTCGGGAATGGATATCAGAAAAATGAAAAAGTGGCACATTTAGTTTATTTATAAAATTTATAGAGGTCGCTCTATTTTTGTTTTAAAAAAAAATTTAAATTTTTTAAAAATAACAATTAATGCCATCTAAGGAATTTTTGGGAAGCTTTAAATTAAAAATACCTTCTCATTTTTCTGTTTTTTTAATTTTTTTACCGAATACCTCTTTGCACCTCATGCTATCTGAATACAAAACTGAATTTTTCTGCCGTCGAAATGCAGAAATTACACTGCGGCGCACATGTAGATAACCAAACAAAATAAAATTTAATGTTTAATTTAATTAAACACTTCATTAGGAAAAAAATCAACTTAATCAAATTCATATAAATAAACATATGATTTATTGTATTTTTCGTATAAATATATCAATGTTTTAATAAAACGGTTGCCTAAAAAAATCCAAAAAAACATTGTCTCTTAACCATTTAAATTAGTTTATAGACAAAAAATCTTCAGGCAATGTCTTTGTTTTTTGCTGTTTTTTTATCAATCAACACTATAACAATAAAACTTAATTTACACAACTTGGCCACTTAACAATTATTTTTAAAAAAACAGTGACAAAGCATAATTGAAAACTTCTAATTATTCGCTATATGACTCCGAAAAAATTGATTATTGTTTTACTCTGCAAAAAAAGTTTTAGACTGTCTAGTAATTAATATTGTTATAAACTTTTATAAAAATAATCTTTAAAAAACGAAAAAAAAAGGTAAGCTCATTTTAATTTATATTTTTTTATTGTTTTGATCATTTTTTTGGTTTAGAAAAAAAAATATGTATGTAATTAGTAATGAGTAGTTACTTTACATAACTATTTTTTATTTACAAATGACAAATTCTATCTGATTGTCATTGACAATGTTAATTAATGAGTTGATCTTGTCCACTCACCTGACCAAGTCTTATTTTCTTTGCTAATTCGCAGGCACTGTAACTCAGCAGTTGATTTTTTGCTGGAGGCAGAACAAATGGACGCACGCGATCACGAAACCAGAAAAATGGCTTTAAAAGTGTAATCATCAATGTAGAAATCCAAGATGCAACACGTAGCATTGTGAACCTCATCTATTTTTATTGCAGGAATAGAAAATTTATGTCATTACAACGATTGAGACATAATTGATATATATGTGATGAAAATGAATAATTGGTACATGTTTTATTACTTAATTGAACATTTAAATAACTTTTTGCAACATATCCAATATGTTTCTTCCATAAAATAGCAACAAAGTAATTTAATTACGTTTTTGTACTCTTTAAAATAGATGGTTGCAGAGTCAAACCGGTTAATTTCAATCGTCAATAAATATTTTATCAGTAAAATGCAAATACTATGAAACGTATGGAAGAAATGATTTTACGACAAAATGTATGAAGTGTAAACCGTGGTGTATAAACTAAAGTTCTTTTGTCACTGATCCAGCAGAATTATTATAAATCAGAACGTGATAGCAATGCTAAGAAAGTTTAAAATGCGTTTTCTTTGCTAAACTCAAGAGCTTGTGCTCAAAATAGAACTATCATGGTGGTCCTAAAGCGAAATCAGGTCTATGCATATTCGATTGAGGACTTAATAGACTAATCATATATTCGTTGGTACATTTTATGACCTTCTTGATAAGGAAAATGTTAATTTCAAGCAAAAATAGTCCATCAGAATACAGTAATACAATTCACTCACATAATTTTGAATACATTATCGAGTGAAGTGCAAAATACAAATTTATGATTCGTAATTTTAAGTTCATTCACATTGTTCCAATTTTTCAACGAAATTTATGAGCAATTGTTCAAGGAACATAGCTAGAAAGCTCTCGTAAGAACTCACTTCAACTGCAAAGAATTGATCATAAAGTCTTAATAGAAAAGAATTGAAGTAAACGTTTCATCTTACGTAAGGTGATCAGTGAAGTTTAATCTTTTTACCAAGTTCTTCAAGATTTTGCAGGGATATTTTGGATCCACTTTCTACAACGGCCTATGTATAGACTTACACTTTCTATTTAATATTAATAATCTGTAAAAGTGAGAATTGTTTTTCATGCAATTTTCTTGTCAAATAAATGGAAAATCTCAACGCTGACTGCAATTTATAAATACGAACGTTGAGTCATGGTAAAATGTGTCTGAGAAGTAATGGTTCAACTGAACCGAAAACCATAAACGGTTGGTAGAAATAAATATTTAACCTGCATACCATGAGATATTACGAAAGATGTAGATAACCCACACATGTTGCATATATTCTTACACTATAAGATGCATATTTTATTCTTTTTTTTTCTCATATTTGCGGAAGAAAATTTTTTTTCTTGCCAATAATACGATAGATAATTAATGACCTTGCAAATTTTACGACCAGAAAATATTTTTTATTATGTTATATCATCATTGCAATTTAGAAATAAAGGACTTTTATAAAAATAATATTTTTTCTAAGTATATTTGACTGAAGTTCAATTATTGATTTTCTTATAATGAATAATTTATAAAAAATATTATCTAGCTTGTGGTCGATAAATAATTAAATATTAATTTGATATTTTTATCATGAATTGTGAATTTTTCATACAATCAATATGTTTATCATTACATAGTTTGATATGAATACAGACGAAATACTGATAGAATTATCCGTTAATAATTTTAAAAATGAAATAATATCAACTATGAAAATATTTTAATTCCTATTTTTCAATGACAAACTAAATAGTAATTTAAACTAAAATTTTATAATACCTTTATAAAAATTGATGCCTGACAAACTGGTGAATAAAATTCAGTAACAAACCAATGATACTGGTTGTAGCACAATAGTTTTTTAACAAATTTGAATAAAAACAACAATAAAATTGAGAATTGAAAAAAAATAATCTCAAAAATTATCGTATAACAGTAAACATAAAGAAAAAGAGAAATTGCTGCACCCGTTTACTCGTGGTCGTTCTCCGTTAAGACTGGACCCACGTAACTCGATCTGTAAGTGAATTGGATTACACGACTACCATCACCTCCCGCAAGAGTCTGATCACATACTGTCAGGTTTTTATGCTTTGATTACGCGTAAGCATCGTCAAACAAACATCGCTTTTATTTCCATCAAGGCCTTGACATTCAACCCAAATTATTAATGAACTTTAAAGAATATATATTCAATTTTATTCATAAACATTGAGTTAAAATTACTACATGGATTATCTAATCATTCAATGAGACTTTTGGATAAATAACAATAATTTAGTTTATAATTAAAAGAACTCTCAATGAATGTACAAGTCAAAACAAGATATGAAAACATGAAAATAAGCTTTCTTTAATTTTGCATGTAGACATTAATAGTAAAAAGTTCATGTGATAATGAAAAAGGTCATAACAACTGCTAAATTATGCAATAAGTCTGTACGTTTTTCAATTAAAAAATCGTCTGGGCAATTAATTTTTGAGATTACACTAAAATTAATTTCCAAATCAACAAAGTGACAAATAAATAAAGTTGAATGAAACTTGTTACAAATATTTATGAAAATTCGTAGGCCAAAAAAAATTTTTAATTACAAATAGTTCCACCTTCGATAAAAAATATAATTTATTTTATATTCAACAATAACAATTCGTGCAGGAATTATTTTATATACTATAAAATTAATTATTGTTTCATCTATAATTATTCATAAATAATTCTTAATAATTATCTAAATTTCAAAATTTATTTCATAATAAATTTTTGAATAAAAAATTCAAATGTCATGAATTAATATAGTACACCTTTTGTCGCGCGATAAACAGATTAATTATTAGCCTCTAGATCGCACTCATCACAGATCCATTACCTTATAAATACGTCACATAACATGAACGTCACAACAGCGTCATTCTTAGGAACGTTGTTGATCGAAACTATTTCAAATTCCTCTATGACACAGTCATTTCATGTTTACTAATGTTTATTTGTTCCTAAATATCTATTTTCTTCATTTGATTTTTCACACTGTTGAACGTTCACAAGGCGGTTCATGCCATCCACCGAAAGCTCTTTCAGCTTCTTGTGCTACTGCGATAGTTAAATGATCATTATTTACATTACCTACAATCTGAAAAAATAAAAAAATTTATAAGTCGTTTACCTTGTGCATAAAATATCAGGTAATTAATTAGCTACTGGGAATCAATGAAAATATAAATAACAAATTACTTGAAATCCTATAGGAAGACCTTCGCTATTGAATCCAATCGGACATTGAGTTACAGGGAGTCCAAGAGCATTAAAAATCATCATATAAATCACGTTACAAATTTTCGGGTATATTTCATACGGATAATGTGCCGCAGAGGTAAAAGTAGGACAAATAAGAACTCCGTTATCACCAAGAATATCTTGAACTCGTCTTTTAATTGCCTCATTTTTTTTGCACATCCATTCGTAATAGCTGTCTGGTAATTTTTGTGAAAATCGTTTAATGACTCCATATCCAACGTTAGACAAACTGTGCGGAGAAACGAGACAGATAAATTTTACAAATTCCACAAAGACACTTCTCCATTCCTAAAAGTAGGTAAAACATATTTTAATTAATTTAGTTTTTTTTTTTGCTTTTTATTGCTACTAAACTAATATAATCAATTAAGTGAATTCATTCTACTTACATCAGGATCAGACTCTTTGCTGAAAATGGTATCTACTCCGTTTAAGCGCAACAGAATTGTGACAGCAGCTTCAAATGCATATTTCATTTCAGGTAATTCAATCTAAAAAAAAGTTACCAATAACATTAGAACGTCTTCAACAGTCGTTTTATTTACTTATAAAGTAAAAATTATACCTTTTGGACTTTTATATTTTGATCTTGTTCCAAATGATTAACAAATTTACGTATTCCAGAGATAATTTCTCTATCGACTTTGGTTGTAACGCTTATGGGAAAATGTTCGATATAGAAAAATTTAACATCATCTATGTGAACCTAAAAATATAATATTCCAATTATTAAAAATTAAAACAAGTCATCATTATCATTCAATTTTGAAAATTTTAAAATCACGTGAAGAATTTCGTACTTTTTTATTCAGTTGAGTGATTGCTGTTTCCGACTGAGTCATAGCTTTTAAAATTATTGGTAAATCTGCAGGATATCTGGTCATCGGTGCAATTGTAAGAAATGCAGGCCAGTTATCATCTGTACTATCAGGACGATGTCCATCAGTTGAAAGCCAGCCTGAAAAATAAAATTTTTAAATTTCAATAATTGTCAGTACTTGTTTCATTAATATTATAAATAAATAAAATTCTATAATTTAATCGATTCTTATTATAATAATTAATTGTCAGATGATGAAAATAGTATATTAATGAATTACCTGGTGTAGGTTTATGACCAAAAACACCACAAAACATAGCAGGCAGCCTCGCAGAGCCTCCGATATCAGAAGAAATGCTAACTAGAGATGCTGCAGAAGCCAGAAGAGCAGCCTGAAAAATGAATACAATTTATTTTCAATAACAGGTAATTATAAAAGAGATATCGAGGTCGCAAATTTCTTTTTTTATGGCTCCAATTGAATGAAACTATGTTAGAAGAAGGAGAAAGCAATAACAGTAAAAGTTATCTGCCATATAGTTTATTTTATGAATTACTCTTAACAAGAAAAAAAGAAACTATCACTTTCTCAGAATTTGACGGCTTACAGCTACTGTTATTACTGATTTTCAAGATAAATTAGTTTGCCAACGTCCGGAAATTACGCTTCAGCAAAGCATTTGTTGGAAATCAGCGTCTCCGACATATTTGAGTGTATAGGGCCTGTACGAGTGTTCGGCCCTAATCGGTTTCCCCCGTAGCCTTCGGCTAACGTCTCTCGTCGTGCTCTTCACTTGATTCAAGTTGGTCGTCTATTACGGTTCAATAATATATTCATTGATAAATAAAGTTCTAATTTCTAATTAAACTAAGTCTTATTATTATTGTTTAAATCCACATAACCTCTAACAGGTTATGGGCCCCAGAGCTCGCTTTCACTGAGCAGATTAATAAAGTGTTTGTTAAATTATAAAGGTGTAGTATAGAGAAACGTGTAAGTGATTTTGGAAAATCTAACAAAGAAGACTTGCAGTTTCAATGGCTGAAAACAAAGACAAAGAAGGATCGACAGTGTCGTCGAGTTAGTATCAATTCTTTTAAAGTAAAATGAACAAGAAAATTAATGTATACATTATTAAATGAAAGGCGGTTTGACGAGTGATGACACGGTTTGGAAAATAGTCAACGAGTGTCCAATGTTTAGCTAAAACAAAGAAATCATTGTTCATTTTACTGAATAAAGGTTATTTAAAATCTAGGCCTAGTATAAAATCATGATTAAGTACAAATAAATTAGAAACTAAGCACGATCGTGCGGCGAGGTTTGGCTTGGCGGGAATTTGAGAGTCCATTGTGACGACAATTGACGAGTTGTGCGCATGATCAGACAGTTGAACGGGAAAACGAGTGCTAGACAACGAGCGAAGGAATGTAGATGAAAAAAAAAATAATAATAAACAAACAAATGAAAGACGCATTACTGGCTCTTTGTCTCGAACTACGGGCCAAATTCTCGCTACACTAAATTAAATAAAAGTTGATCAACTATAAAATATATGTTTGCATGTAAACTAACAATTCTTTTCATTCCTACAGCTCTTGAAATAGACACGTTAAATGAAATGCTTGATAACATGACATTTGAAAATGTTATGGTCAAGCTGGAGGGTGTGTTTATGCTTAAAGCAAACCACCCAAATGAGGAAATTGAGTTATCCCTGCATGAAAATTATATTTCACTAAAAACTCAGACGAGTGTTGAGTACAAAGCAGGTGAGCGAAGGGTATTTTATTTTATTTTTGAAATATTTCCAAGAAAATATGTATAGCTATACAAATGAAATTATAATTAAGATGCATCGTAAATTTAATTATTAAAAATCTCGAGTAACTGTGCATATTTAAAGCACGAATAATAAAAGACCTATGAATGTCTGAAGACATTCTAAATAATAATTTTTAAACCATTAAAATCAAATTACTCATGCTTGGTGGTTGAGTGCCGTGCATTTGGCTACTATGTATGAGAGTAGAGTTTGTATATGTGTAACCTTGTGTTCGGGTAAATGTATACTTGCTCGTCTTAGTCTGGAGAAACTTGTGTTCGGTGGATCCAGCTAACGACATGATTTAAAATCCTGCCAAATGTCAGATTTTTATTCTTTCTCAATATATTGCAGCTAAAACATTTGTTACCAAAGAGGAGTTGAAAGCGCTAGAAGTATGGCTGGACAAATGTAAGAAACAGGGTGTGAAAGCTGTGCTGCCGAGTACTGTAAAGAAACAGGAAATAGTTGATCCTGTAGAGGAACAATGGTTGGCTACGAGAATCAGCAACGACAGAACGAATGACGACAGTAGTGGTGACGACGGAAAGAGTGACGAGAGAATCAGTAACGACAGAACGAATGACGACAGTAGTGGTGACGACGGAAAGAGTGACGAGGGAACTAGATATGACGGAACTAGTTATAAGAGGAGTGTCAACACAACGAGAGCTATGATTCATAATGTAGAAGGAGATAATATAACTCAGTTGGCCACTGAGACAAAAGGTAAAGGTCTACCTAAAATAATTGAGACAAAACCGGTAAAAATATCTCTAAAGAATTTAACGTTCCTAAACTATTGAATAAATCTGACAATAAAATGTTTAGATGACACAAATTCAGAAACTAAACAAAAGACTGACGAAAAGGCGACTGCCTGGATACCTTGCTTCAATGCCATGGACAATATGCTGTTGCAGCAGTCCAAAATGTTGGCTAGCTTAACTGAAACTATGAAAAGCATGGAGAAAAGGCAATCAGAAATTATGGAAGAGTTATGTCGTAACCGACAAAATATGAGTGATCTGGGTAAACAAGTAGAGAAAATCGAGTGTAATATAAAACAGGTAAAGAGTGTGAACCTGATGTGAGTTGCATGACCCAGAACAGAAGCTCAGACATCAATCTGGGAGAACCGAGTGGTCACAATTTAAATAGCAATGTAAGACAGAATGACGACAGATACGTTAGAGCTGATGATGTTAAAGATGCAATAAAGTATGAGATAATAAGTAAAGATGTGGGTACTAACACACGACACGACGACGGGGACGAGGGACAGTACCAGGGAGACGAACGACGACGTAACGGTAAAAACGCGACGTACGGGACGGAGCGAACGTACGGCCGAAACGCGAACGTGGTGGTACAGAACGACTACGATGAGGACGGGACGAACAGGGGACAACGACGACGCGAACAGGTAACGGGGGTACGACGAGAACGACACGAACGGGGACTGGAGGGGTACGACGAACGGAGGGGGATGACAGAGGTAACGGGTAACGAAGGAGGGGACAGGACAGGTACGAACGGTAACGGACGAAGGACTAAGAACGCAACGTAAACGACAACGAGAGAACGCGGGGAATAACGAACGAGCGGACGGAACGGACGAACGCAGGGGGTTAAAGAAAACGGGGGACGGTACGTACGGACGAAACGGCAAGAGGGGCGGCGAACCAGGGTACTACGTAAAACGCGAACAGATACGCACGACAGGAGAACGTACGCACGAGAAGAGTGGGTAACGAGAAACGACGCGAGGCGGACCGGAGCGCCTGATTGAACAAAATTAACCTAAAAAAAAAAAAAAAATAAAATCAAAAAAGTACTAATCAAACGAAATTGATACTTTTTACGCCGTACTTTCGTTTTCTCAGAACGTGAGATCGCTTGAACTATTGTATGTACTTGACACGAGTGCAAAACCGCCTCCAAATTATGCTTGCAATACTTTGCACAAACACATACCTTCAAAAGTGCGGATCTTCTCATACATCGTGTCGAGTCATACTATCACACAAAGGTACGCTCATTTAAAAAGATCTGTCGAACTACTAACATAAAATAAACGAATTAAAACGACTATAATGAGGTGCATTTAACTACTCGTATGATTAGACGGAATTTTTCACACATGCAGTATTCACCAGATACAGAGGCGTGCTTCTGAGTGTTTGTGAAAGTGTCGAAAACTGCCAGACGCGACGCGATTATGGAATATCTCAGACCCTGCGACACTTGTTTCTGCGGCGGAAAAAACGCGGACACATTTTAATAATGCTACTTATGACCCACGGGTTGGTCCTCTTCGGTCAAGCTGTGTGAGTTTATACGGAGTGAGGCTGACAGGGTTTAGATTATGAGAGTTCTGACAATGTTTTTGATGCGGCCGAGGCAATCGAACATCAGACAAAATCAGAGAGACAGATGCCAGCAATGACAGTTAAGAAAGGTACGAGTGCTGAGATGTTATGAGTGCTCTGATTTGGTCATATCAGTTATGAAGTATGACTGCCCGAACAAGGAACAGGTGTTGTGACATGTTACGAGTGGTCATAAGTTCACAACCCATAAGGCTGACGAGTTGGGTCCTCAAAGACAGACAGCGGACTGAAGAACAGCAAGGATCACGAGTGGTACGAGTGTTATAAAAGCGGTAGGCAGGTAGGTAATGGCCGGTCTACAATACAATAACTACAACAAAAATCTGGACAGACTTAACGCCCAGACGACAGGACAGTGAAAGGAGAAATGACGAGTAATACGAGAGGTCTATACCTTACAAGAGAAGGCGAGATTCACTCAAAATAAGGATCGAGGTGGCGACAAATATGTTAAGAAAGAACTTCAACAGCCAAAAATCAAATAATGATGGGGAATAAGAAATCAGCGGAAGACTGGCAACGGGTAAGGCATTCTTGGCTGATATAACACTCGAGTAAGAAACGCTGGATATGTACACGAGTATAATGATGATTGTAGAGAAAGAGTAATACACGAAGGTGAAGATTAGTAGCCAGTTCTTAGCCGACTCAGTGCGACAGAACATCTCACCAATTCTCGCATATTTTAAGACCCTGGACGTAAAGACTACGTCCAATATACAATGTGCTAATAAAAAGCCTCAGCGGACTGAGAACGGAGGGAGTAGGCAGGTTGAAGTAATCCTGGACAATAACAAAGTTAATGAAAATTGATAACGTTATATTGCGGAGGCTCTTTCTGATAATCTTATGTCCCTGAGAAAATTCGCTGAAATGGATTAGCAATATATTTAGATAAGAAAAGGATAAATATATTTGATCCAGTCTCGAAATGAGCTATTCATTACAGGTGTTATAATAAACCCTATGGAATTATTGAACTGGAAATCAATCGAGATACGGCTGGAAACGAGAGTAATATATGCGAAAGAGATCTAACAAATATATTTTAGCTGACTTGACGAGTGATTACAAAACAACTGTAAATGAAGCAAGATGTATGTGGCGAAACTTGCGACAGAAGACAAAACGAGTGCTGAGGAAAAATTTTAAAATCCCGAAACAGATATGAGCGAAATGATATGAGTGTACGAGAGCAAAGAAATCAAAAACAACAGATGAGACGATAGACGGTACAGAAAGAGTGGAAACGATTGAGAGCAGGCAAGAGAAAACGGGTGAAAAACAAACGAGTGGAAGCGTGTGAAGAGGTACGAGTGAACGAATGGGAGAACAAAGTACAGACTGAAGACGAGAAAGGAAGACCAATATAATACTCTGACTGGGATACACTGAGTTCAAGTATCACTGATGATTCAGAATGTAAACATGAAAAATAAAATGTAATCAAAACTTTAACTTTGAAACAACCATATGGGAATAGAAAATTAACGATCCAAATAATTGCCGTAACAGAAACAACAGATATTGAATCTCCATTAAACGAGTTGTAATAATAAAAACAAATTATGACAAAGCAATGTTATGGCACGTCAGGCTGGGGGCATGCTTCAGTAAATTATTAAAGGCATTGCAAAAGAAAATAGAAATACCCGAGAATAAAGAGCTTCAGAAGATCGTGTTCGATCAATCGATCATGGATTGTGAGATCCTGTATGGTTTCTAAGAATAAACACGGTGCCATTTGAAAAACAGTGCGTAATAGACGCGCGATGCTCCACTGGAGATCTACATTCAGATACGATGGACTTAGTCACCTTCTCTCATCCTAAAGGAGAACACAGTTTAATATCTGTAAATTCAATGATGACTCTTCGCGAGAATTGCAATGGCATCTGCGATGAAAGTTAAGAGGGATACGGGTGCCTTGCTTTGAAGCATTGTGATGAAGACGTGCGCGATCTGGATCTGCTTGAAAGATGCGTGTGCTATTACGCTCTGACCAGGGCACGATTTAAAGGTGTTGGTTATCACGACAGAGGTTTTATATAAATAGTGCAGAGTTACAGTCTCTAGTCCCTGATACCCTGAACATAAACGAAAAGTGTGCAGAGCGGTTGAATTAATCACGACTATACAGACGAAGTGCGCGCCTACATGTAGATGAAGCAAATTACCCGAGAGCACATGTGGTGATTTGGCTCTGTAGTGCAGCTGTCGTAGCCTATAATAAAGGACCCCTCCTAAAGCCCAAAAAATGGACATGATAACTCCTATGAGTAGCAGTTTGCACACAAATCATAATTTTGGTTAGATAAACCAACCTAAACGTTTTGGCTGTATTTTGCCTACATTAACGTGTTCAACGGAAGACTGGACCACAAGTTCCGTTTCGAAGGAGGAAGACGAGTGGTGTTAGTTTGCGCTCTACTCCCACTGCGGTCCAATTTTAAAACCTGAAGAGGAAAATTTTGTATTAACGAAACGAGCAGCGATGTGCGAGTTAACGAGAAATTGGTTTAAGGGCGACACAATACGGTAAAGACAGCAAATTAGACTGGCAAGTGAAGAGTGGAAAACAGAACACGACAAATGGTTGTGGAATTCTCTGAAATATAAACATGTACTGAGTAAGTAAAACGGAGGGACGAGATTCACTCAAAAGAAAAACGTAGGCAGCCCTAGGAAAATCCTGTAAGTACAGACAAACGAATGTGACGCGAATAACATACTAACAAATACAAAATGGCAGGAAGTGCATGTAAGCATGAGGAGGATAGCGAATTGAAGTAAAATAGTTTACATCCGAACTAAATGACGACTATGATAGAAAAATAGAAAACCTAGCAGATGGAAATGTATTGTGCAATGCTGGCAAGCATAATACAAGTGCGGATCCTGCTACTACAGAGACAGGCCATGTCATCGAGTGAATCTATTTACTGGAAGAGCAGTCGAAGAATATGAGTTTGAAACATCAATGTCGGAAAATAATAACGTGTGGGAAATCGTTGATCGACCAAACCTAACGAGTGATGGGAAACGGCGAATATAAGGAAAATTTTCCCTCGGATGGGTATTTTAAAAAGGAAAGTAAAGGATGATGGTGAAATAAAGACACAAAGGGCAAGCTGGTTTATAACGGGGTCAAGACAGAAACGGTACGAGCTGAAAAGACTTATGGCTCCCGGTGTCCCAAACTACACGATTCCGAGCGGTTGCGGGCCATTAAGAAAATAATATGGAAGATCTGGAATTTGGGGTTTCAGCTAGAAGATGTGGCAAACTGCTTTCCTCATGGACGATGGATGAGGAAAATTTCATGAAATACCTGATGAAATTGAAATAAGTGATATACCGACGCAGACGAAAAAAAAAAAAAAAGAGTAAAGTAGGCAAACGAAAACGAGCGTGAAAATATGGTTTGCCCCCTACGGCCCCCCCGTTGGACCTCCCCAGGGGTATTCCAACAGGAAGTAGCTCGAGGGTCTAGCGAAGGCCTGCCTTCCTTGCAATGCCGAACCCCTGGTTTTGTTTACCGGGCGGATAATAAGAAGTTTTTGATTTTAACTGTTGTACGTTGATGAATATTTGAGAGTTGCAAGTAATGCTGAGCATAACCTTGACAGCAGTGCAAGACACGATTCAACCGTTGAATTTAAAGAAACATACAGATT